TCTCAAAACACTTCTTCAATCACTTAACCAACCACACACGCTTTCATCTCAGACGTTGTTCCCACTCCCTTGCGTTGTTTTGAGACGTCTCAAAACACTTCTTTAATCACTTAACCAACCACACACGCTTTCATCTCAGACGTTGTTCCCACTCCCTTGCGTTGCCTGCTGCCTGCTCAGAGGGCGGAGGCCCGGGAGTTTGAGGCGCGGGTGAAGAAGCTTCTGAGAAGGTTACCGCCGGGCGGCGAGGACTTTCTGACGTCTGTGGAGCACGTGATGCGGCGAGAGAAGCACTGGGTGCGTGGGGGGGGGTTGAAGTGAGGGGGGGTGGTAAGGGTGGGGGTTGTAGGTGGGGATGAGAAGGTTGGGGGTGAAAGTGGGGGAGCTGGTAAATTTCTATGAACTTAGGATACTTTTCTGGTTTGTTGGTTCAATTTAAAAAAAAAAAAAAAAAAAAAAAAAAAAAAAAAAAAAAAAAAAAATCCTTCGATTCAAGTGTGTACAACCAGTGACTTACGTTTGGTCCTTGACCCCCGTCACATGTTTGTCAACACCTCTGAACCGCATTGCATGCCCGCCAGGTGGCATGGAAGAAGGAGGTGTGTCCGCCCTTCGACCGCCCCCCAGCTGACCTCACTCCCCGCCGCGACCCAACACCCAAACGGTATGTGCCCTATTTAGGATGGGCGATGAGGTCTGAGAATCTGCGCTCTGCCATTCCTTCCTCTCTCTCCCTTACCTCATGGGTTTACGTGACGCGCCCTTTCTCTCCTTTCTACCACCCGCTCAGGCCGCGTTACCTGATGGGGAACAAGGAGCTGGATCGGCTGTTTCGATGGGCTGACAAGCACCCTGTGAGCCGCTCTTCTCCTTCCCGCCCCCCCCTGCTCAGCAGAGGCCTTGTTTTTTCACTCTCGTCCTCGTCTCGAGAACCTGCCTGCACCCGGTGCCCTCTGGTCTCTCATCCCGACACCATCACCAACCCCTCTTTGCATCATTCATCGCTCTCCTGCCCTTCTCGTTTGCACCGCCCCTCACCTTCCGTCCCTGTCCGTGCCCCTTTCATCTCCCACCCCTCGTGCTTCCCCCCTGCAGGATGCCTTGACGGACCCAGAGCAGGTGGCAGTGCCGGCGTTTCGAGACTTCATTCAACCGCTGGCTGATGATGTGAGCCATGCGTGGTGTGGCTGGTGATGTGAGCCATGCGTGGTGTGGCTGGTGATGTGAGCGCGGCAGGTGATGCTGGTTGCTGCATTCGACTGGTATTAATGGGCCTCCATACAGTGTGTTTGGACTGCATTCCCACATGGAATACCTGGTGTTACACCATTCACAGTGGAGCCCTCATCCCCAGCCTAGCTATTTCATTGCTGGGAATGTGGCCTGGTCTATCAACGCCCTCATCTCCACTCGTCTTTGTGCTGAAAAAAAAAGGGATTGGTTCGCCTCTTACTACAAGTCTGTTGTGTTGTTGCCGTGCCACAATCCCCTTTTTCCCCGTGTCCGTGTGTTGCTTGTGTGGTGTCTGTGAGCGAGCAGATGGACCCGGAGAATTGCATAGAGGCGGAGTACCACAGGACCAATGACAAGGTGAGAGGTAGCATGGGTAGCACGGGTAGCACGGGCAGCACTAGCAGCAGTGCAGCATGGCAGCATGGGTAGCAGGGTAGCAGGGGCAGCACTAGAAGCAGGTGCAGCATGGCAGCATGCTTGCTTGCTTGCATGAGAGCAGATGGACCCGGAGAATTGCATCGAGGCGGAGTACCACCGGACGAATGACAAGGTGAGAGGCAGCATGGGTAGCATGGATAGCACGGGTAGCAGCGGATGCAGCAGCAGCGGAGGTTGGAATGGTAGCAGGGGTATGAGGGGCAGACTGGGTGGTGGCTGTCTGGGAACGTGCAGTATTCAATTTCTTGTCTTCTTTCAACTCTTCTCTCTCTCTCTCTCTCTCTCTCTCTCTCTCTCTCTCTCTCTCTCTCTCTCTCTCTCTCTCTCTCTCTCTCTCTCTCTCTCTCTCTCTCTCCTGCCCCATACCCCCTCCCTGATCCATCACGTGGGGCAGGTCTTCTGCTGGAGGGCCTTGCGCCTCGCTGCACGGTCCGACATCGAGGCCTTCAACAGGGTGAGCTGCCCTGCCCGTGCCGTGAATAGGGTGTGCTGCTGGTGCGCACAGAACCGCGTTCAAAGTCTAGAACTCAGTAAATGTTTTCAGGTTTTGGGTTGTCGTGCTTGCCCCGCTCCTTCTCCTTTCCCTCTCCAGTTTGGCGACTGGGCAAGGAGGGAGTGGTGACACCACACATGCGTAGGTTGCACAAAAGCACAGCTCCCCACCCTCTCTACCTCTCTGCTCCCACCACCCTGATGTTCCTCCTTTCTCTCTCTCCAGTTCGGTGATCTGGGCATGGAGGGGGTGGTGCCATCACACATGTCACCCTTCTGCTCCCACGCCCTCTTTCCTTTCTCACACTCGCTTTCCTCTTGCACGCCCCCTTTCTTTTCCCATGCCCCCTTTCCTCTCTCTTGCTCCAGTTTGGCGATCTGGGCATGGAGGGAGTGGTGCCACCGGACATGCTACCAGACGAGGTGCGGGTGAAGCTGCACAAGGGCAAGCCCAAGAAGGACTCGCACGGCGATAGAGACGCGGTCAAAGACGCTGGGAAAGGAGCAGCTAATAAAGAGGCTGTGGGCGATGCAGGGAAGGATGCTGCAGCTGGTAACGCCCTGCCTCCTGCACCAACTGCAGCTACGCCTGCCACTCCCCTGCAAGCCCCTGCTGCTGCTGGTGCTGTGGGTGCTACAACTGCCGCCGATGCTCCATCCACGCCTGTAGCGGCTGCTACGGCTGCTGGGACTCCACTTGCTGCTGCTAAGGGCCTGAGTGGTTCGGCGGGCAAGAAGACTGGTCCGGCTGTAGCGGCAGGTAGGGGGGATGGGAAAGGGGAGGGAGGGGGTGATGGGGAAGGCACACCCAGTGCAAAGGGGTTCGTGTTTGACCTCAACATGGACGCTCCAGATGGCTCCCCTGCTGCTGCTGCTGGTGCGGGTGCAAGATCAACGCCTGGGAGTGCAGGTGGTGGTGGGTCAGGGAGGAAAGGGCGTGGAGGGGAGGTGAGTGCGATGGAGGTGGAAGGGGAGAGGAAGGCAGATGGGGAGGGAGAGGGGAGGGCTTCGGCTTCTAAGAAGCGGTCACGTATAGATGAGTGATATGGCAGTCGGATGGAGATTTGCTGCTGTCCTAGCACTTATGGTACATCGCACCCTCATTCATGGCATCTTGTATGCACATGATTGCTGTATAGTTGTGCATGAGCAATGCGCTTTCGGTGCAAACGTGTAGGAAAGAACGCAGCCTTGAATATGCTATCGTTACCATACCGTCACCCCCCGGATATACCCCCATGGGGGGCAATAATAAAACAGGTTTTTTCAAGGGGGTGGGCTTATAATCGAGTAAATTTATAAGCGCCGGCGTTTATAAAATGACATTCATATTTTTTATATTGTTTAACACCAAACTGTAGGTCTCGTGCTTGCCCTTTCAATCGAGTCGAATTTACATGGGGTCGTCTGTGAAATTCTCGCGCGCGCTGGGAGACACACCCAATCTGACTCACATCCAGCTCCTGACAGCTCCTGCTGACTGGACCCGCATCCAGTGCAGGGTCCGAATGTGAAGGGAACCGAATCTGCAACATATCTGCCTGCTAAAGTAAAAATCATTACAACGTTTTGTACACATTTCAAATTTTAAAGTTTACGTGCGCTTATAATAAAACTAGTTTTTTCAGGGGGTGCGCTTATAATCGAGGAGGGGATATAAGCGCCATATGCCAATTAGAAGCGCCAGGCGCTTATCCTAGGGTGGCGCTTATATCCGGGGGGTGACGGTATGTCTTGAAAGCATGGCATCTAAGATGGGCCTTCAACTTTTTATCCTGTTTAATGTGCACTTCCGAATGCCAATTAGCCACATGGTTCAAACTTACAGAATATAAAGAGTATATGTACTTTGACATGATGCTGCAGTTGTGTGCCTTCTCATCCTATCATGATCGAAATAACAATGATACATCTCTATGGCGCAATGATAATGAGATGTGCCAAGAAGGGTGCATTAAAGTATTGAGGTTTTTTTTGCATTATGATATATATCAAAGGATAAGGATAGATGAATTTGTTTGTAACACAACCTATTGTGGTGGATGATAAACAGAAAACGAATCAACAGTATTAATTATCTGATTGCTATCCTGAGGACTTTAGATATAGTCTAACAATGTCTAGAAGAAGCGCAGCTAGTAAGGAAGATCGCGATTTCTGATACGCTGTTCGCGAGCCAGGAGCGAAACAGCACAATTGGTATTTTCGCGAGCAGAGAACCTTGCACAAGCAGACCCGTTGGTGGTTATCCACCCTTGTAGCTTTGCAAGGTGGATTTCAGCATAAATGCTCAGTCACCATGTTAACGATCCTTGGGCAATCTGCGGTTCCTAGGTTCACAGAATCATGCCACCAGGATGAAGGCGTTCTCCCTGTGGGACAACTGTTCCAGTAAGCTCCCTTTTTCCGTCAGGGTAACACCATGGCCCAGGACGAGTGGAAGCTCCTCTGTGCCGCTGTGAATATGCAGCTGTAATTATGCGCGTGACGCATTCGATACTATGTGCGCGACGCTGCCGCGACAGATCTTTCGAGAGTCTGCCGAGGTAAGCCATTCTCTTCCTTTTGTCGTGTCCGTGTGCTCACAGTCTGACCATATGATTTCTCATGTTGCGAATCCCTCGTCTCCCGCGCGATGTCATCTCACCGCCGTTTCCGATGGCCCCGCGCTGCACTCGCTGCAGACAGACGGTACGCCGCTGACGATGGATTATTTCTGATGGGAGCCGTTTGTTCGCCCTCCTACCACTAATCCCTTTCTCGCATCCACTGAACTTGCGATTTCGACGTTCTTCGTGCTTTGTCGTTCTTCCAGGCATGTTTGAAGTTGTCGTTGCGATAAATTTCGTTGTGGTACTGGTCACGCCCGTGTGATGAATGCTATACCTGTCCTTGTTGAAGTCTGACTGCCGCTCTTACGGGTTGGCACTGGCGACAAGAATGCTCCCAACTGATGGCCGTGACTTGTTTATGCGCTTTACTCGCTTTTCCATTGATTGGATTCTAGTTTTTCATGCTTTCGTTGTGCGGGTCATTGCTAGCGTTGCCTATGATGAAAGAAACTTGAGTGGTAGGAGCTGCGGTTGCGGGGGTTGCTGCGAAAGCAGCTGAACCTACCCCTGCGCATGCCGCTGTCTTCGATGCCGCATCCTCCGACTGAGGCATCGCTCGTTGTCCCGCAACTAGTCGTAAATTTGACCAAGCTTCTGAGTTCGCTAGCTTCGTTACCTACTTTGCTCGTTATATGTATGGCCGCGTACCAGCCTCTCTTGCTCAAGCTACCAGGCTCCGTCGCCAAGAGGGTCCTCATTACAGCTGCGGCCAGATCGCACCCCAGTGACTGCTGCATACCCGTTTCGCGCCAGCCTTCCCTGCTGGATGCGGAAGAGCGTTTCACACATTCACGACACTAACCATGGCGTCACACTCAATAAGCTTGTTTCTTCCTTTCCATTTTTTACTTTGCAGGCGTTCGTTCTCCAATTTCAACGGGTCCGTCAGCTGCTGAATCGCCAGCGCTCCCAAGGGGTTCCGAACTACACCTGGGCTGGGCTTTCGCTGTAGGGAATCGATTAAGATTCCAACCAATTTACACGAGATACACGTATTCTTTGACCTGATTGTACATTTTGTGCAAAATATTCCTGTTATTATCCTGTTGCACACCGCTAATATGCTCTCACCCCTCTTATAACAAAACAAGTCATACTAATAGGAATCTGACACAATGCTTGCGCAACCTGAAGTAACTAGGATAAGCACATACCTGGAATAAATTACGGTTGGTCAGTGGTAACCAACCAACCATTCGGCTGCCCCAGTGCAGGTGATTCTGAACAATATAATGCACATCAATTCATTGCATGCGCATAAAATCACCTGCAGATGTATTGCAGGATGGGTGAACTGTTAGAACTAGTACCCCTAGCCGCTGGCAGACAAGCTCAGGAGACAGGAGACTGAATGCAGCAGTAAGTCACAGGAAACAGGCTCAGGAGGAGCAACAGAACCACGCGGCCTCTTCTAAGGCGTATGTCCCAATTATGGTACATTCATTCATCCACTGCACATGCTCTGCCCTCCCTGTTCATGGCTTTCTCAGTCTAGTATACCTCCCTCTCAGTTCACACCTTGCTCATTTCACGCCTCCATCAGTTGATGCCTTGTCAAGGTATTGCCTGAGGACCCTTTCCAGAGCGGCCTTGCTGACAGGCTTGGACATGTAGTCTGTAAGGGGGGAAGGGTGAGGAGCAGAAGCAAGGAAGCAGCAATGTTGAGAGATGCCAGGGAAAGGGCGGAGCAGAGATATGCGTGAAGCCCACAACGTACAACCCACTCCCCCCCCACACACGTGGCGGCCCCATCCCCATGCACCCACCTGTCATGCCGGCAGCCAGGCACTGCTCCCTGTCGCCCTTGAGAGCGTTGGCCGTCTGGCAGTGGGTGCACACGTGGGGGGGGGGGGAGACAAGTGGGGCGAGGGGAGATGAATGCACGGCGAGTTGGACATGTGGCGAGGATGTGCGAGGTCAGGGCGGGGAAACACAGAGAGAGGAAAAGAAATCAGTGCTGGTAGTGGGGAGATGAGCTTACAAGGAAACAGAGGCTGATGGGTAGGTGAGACAGACGCATGGCTTAAAAGAGAGGCATACAGAACAAGGTGAAGGGCAAACACAGGAGAGGGAGGAGGCGGAGGGAGGGGGAGAAAGGAAGCAGGTAGAGGGAGGTGGGGGGAAGGCGCAGGGTGGTGGAAGGGGCTTACAAGAGCGACGATGGTGACGGATGGCTGTGCCTGCTGTGCCTCCAGCTCCCTGATCCTGCGACTCGCTGCCCACCCATCCATCTCCGGCATCTGCTCATTGCACATGCACACGTGTTTGGAAAGAGACAAGTTTGAATATCTAAATGGACATGGGCATGCAAGTGGCACACATGGCCGAGAGTGGCACACAAGGACGAATCACAATACCAGAGTAGCAGCTGTGTGAACCTTGAGGATGAGGTTACCTGGCAGTCCATGGGGATGAGGTTGCTGATCTGGCAGTCCGCTTTTGAGTCGACTCCAAAGCAGACCTGAGGATGAGGGTGCTGACCTGGCAGTCCACGAGGATGAGGTTGCTGACCTGGCAGTCCATGCAGATAAGGTGCTGACCTGGCAGTCCATGAGGATAAGGTGCTGACCTGGCAGTCCATGAGGATAAGGTGCTGACCTGGCAGTCCATGAGGATGAGGTTGTATTTGTTCTTCTGGAAGAGGCTGACGGCCTCCACACCATTGTTGGCGATGTCTATGCTCACGCCCAGCTGCGCCAGCATCGACTTGGCCACCTTCTGGTTTATCTGCTCACCATCGGGCCACACAGAAAAACGCACACAGGGGACGGGTAGAGAGAGTGAGGCGGAAGGGCGACTTGTGCGTCAACTCAATGCTCACCCCGAGCTGTGGCAGCATCGCCCTGCCACCCACTAACAACGCCCTGCCACCCACTAACAACGCCCTGCCACCCACTAACAACGCCCTGCCACCCACTAACAACGCCCTGCCACCCACTAACAACGCCCTGCCACCCACTAACAACGCCCTGCCACCCACTAACAACGCCCTGCCACCCTGCCTCTCTGCCTTCCACTCTCGCACAACCCTGCCACCATACCACCCTGCCACCATACCACCCTGCCACCATACCACCCTGCCACCATACCACCCTGCCACCATACCACCCTGCCACCATACCACCCTGCCTGCCGTAGTTCTGTCCGTTGGTATCCAGTATAAGCAAGCTTTGTTTGCGAACCAAAAGAACCCCCACCCTTCCTATCGTTCGCCCACCCACCAGGTTGTCTTCTGCGAGCAGGATGCGGCCACTCAGCTTGGGCCCCATGCTCCGAGCAGCGGGCCGCGGCTGCTGCCGACGCCGCCCCGACGACACGAACAGCCCGTCGCCGCCCGGTGTGCTCTGCATCGCCGATTCCATGGCTTCCAGCAGTGCCTTGGGGCGCACCTGGTGGCACGCATGGGTAGCGGGCGACAGAGGGGAAGGGGAAGGGGAGGGACAGAGGAGGGGGGTAGTGACTAAGGAGGCAATGGGCACAGGAACAGCCCGTCGCCGCCTGGCGTGCTCCGCATGGCCGATTCCATGGCCTTCAGCAGTGCCTTGGGACGCACCTGCACGTGTGGGGGGGAGGGGAGGGCGGACGAGGAGAGAGAAAGACTAAGGGGGCAGCAGACAGAAACAGCCCTTCGCCGTTGGTGATCTGCACGGCTGCTTCCTTTGCCTCCAGGAGTGCCTTGGGTCACACCTAATGGCACACAGGGGGACGTTGACAGGAGGGGAAATGACAGGAGAGAGGTAGTGGCGGAGAGGAAGGGGGTGATTCCAAGGTTGTCGACATGGGAGGCAATGAAACTGGACGAGCGCCTGCTGCTGCTGCTGCTGCTGCTGCTGCTGCTGCCATGATTGAGCTGCACGCCAGGCTGCATCACGCCCCGCAGTTGAGACAACACACTTCATCTCCCAATGCTTCATTGCAAAACACATGGTTGCCTACTCCGCGTGCATACCATGGGCTTATTGAGCATGGCGGGGCGTACCATGGGCTTATTGAGCATGGCGGGGCGTACCATGGGCTTATTGAGCATGGCGGGGCGTACCATGGGCTTATTGAGCATGGCGGGGCGTACCATGGGCTTATTGAGCATGGCGGGGCGTACCATGGGCTTATTGAGCATGGCAGGGTGTACCATGGGCTTATTGAGCATGGCGGGGCGTACCATGGGCTTATTGAGCATGGCGGGGCGTACCATGGGCTTATTGAGCATGGCGGGGCGTACCATGGGCTTATTGAGCATGGCGGGGCGTACCATGGGCTTATTGAGCATGGCGGGGCGTACCATGGGCTTATTGAGCATGGCGGGGCGTACCATGGGCTTATTGAGCATGGCAGGGTGTACCATGGGCTTATTGAGCATGGCGGGGCGTACCATGGGCTTATTGAGCATGGCGGGGCGTACAATGGGCTTATTGAGCATGGCGGGGCGTACCATGGGCTTATTGAGCATGGCGGGGCGTACCATGGGCTTATTGAGCATTGCGGGGCGTACCATGGGCTTATTGAGCATGGCGGGGCGTACCATGGGCTTATTGAGCATGGCGGGGCGTACCATGGGCTTATTGAGCATTGCGGGGCGTACCATGGGCTTATTGAGCATGGCGGGGCGTACCATGGGCTTATTGAGCATGGCGGGGCGTACCATGGGCTTATTGAGCATGGCGGGGCGTACCATGGGCTTATTGAGCATGGCGGGGCGTACCATGGGCTTATTGAGCATGGCGGGGCGTACCATGGGCTTATTGAGCATGGCGGGGCGTACCATGGGCTTATTGAGCATGGCGGGGCGTACCATGGGCTTATTGAGCATGGCGGGGCGTACCATGGGCTTATTGAGCATTGCGGGGCGTACCATGGGCTTATTGAGCATGGCGGGGCGTACCATGGGCTTATTGAGCATGGCGGGGCGTACCATGGGCTTATTGAGCATGGCGGGGCGTACCATGGGCTTATTGAGCATGGCGGGGCGTACCATGGGCTTATTGAGCATGGCGGGGCGTACCATGGGCTTATTGAGCATGGCGGGGCGTACCATGGGCTTATTGAGCATGGCGGGGCGTACCATGGGCTTATTGAGCATGGCGGGGCGTACCATGGGCTTATTGAGCATGGCGGGGCGTACCATGGGCTTATTGAGCATGGCGGGGCGTACCATGGGCTTATTGAGCATGGCGGGGCGTACCATGGGCTTATTGAGCATGGCGGGGCGTACCATGGGCTTATTGAGCATTGCGGGGCGTACCATGGGCTTATTGAGCATGGCGGGGCGTACCATGGGCTTATTGAGCATGGCGGGGCGTACCATGGGCTTATTGAGCATGGCGGGGCGTACCATGGGCTTATTGAGCATGGCGGGGCGTACCATGGGCTTATTGAGCATGGCGGGGCGTACCATGGGCTTATTGAGCATGGCGGGGCGTACCATGGGCTTATTGAGCATGGCGGGGCGTACCATGGGCTTATTGAGCATGGCGGGGCGTACCATGGGCTTATTGAGCATGGCGGGGCGTACCATGGGCTTATTGAGCATGGCGGGGCAGCGGTCACGCCAGTAGCGCACAGCCTTGAGCTCGCCCTCTGTCCTCTCCGTCACCTGAGAGCGCTTCAGCAGCACCACCACCCCCACTCGCTCCCGACCCAGCATCTCCAACACCGCCTGTAGGGGGGGGAGGGGAGGGAGAGGGACGGAGAGGGAGGGGGGAAGAATGAGATGGGGGGGATGGGGACTTGGGGGGGATGGGGACTTGGAGGGGATGGGGACTTGGGGGGGATGGGGACTTGGGGGGGATGGGGACTTGGGGGGGATGGGGACTTGGGGGGGATGGGGACTTGGGGGGGATGGGGACTTGGGGGGGATGGGGACTTGGGCGCTCCCATCTCCAACACCGCCTGCAGGAGCGCACACAGGGAGGGGAGGGGGGGCGAGGGAAGCAAGGGAGAGGAATGAGAGAAGAATGAGATGGGAAGGCTGGGGAGTTGGCAAGGGATGTGGGACAACAGCAGCATCATGTGCACACGCTGCCTGCAAGGAGAGGAGACCGATGGAAACAGCATGCTACAGCAGCAGCACGCTACAACCCCCACTTACAGAGGACATGGGGTCAATCAGTTGTGGCTCGCTGGAGCAGTCAACCACAATCGAATCTTAGTCCCCTGCCAGCCCCTTTTTGAGTCGCCTCGGGAACAGCACGCTACAGCAGCACGCTAAGCCCACTCACAGAGGACATGGGGTCAATGAGCTGCGGCTTGTTGGAGCAGTCAATCACAATCAAATCGTAATCCTCCGCCAGCCCCTTGCGCGCCGACCCGTCTCGCCACGTGCCGGGCGCTGGTTGGCTGGCTGGCAGGGGCGGCGAGGGCGGCAGAGTGCCGGCCGGGAGGCGTTTGAGGAAGGCCTCCTCTGGCGTGCAGGTGAGGCACGCGTGCGGCACCTTCCATGCCTCCAGCTGCTTCTGCATGGCGCTCACTGTCACCTGGGGGTGAAAGGGGGGTGGTTGGGAGGAGAAGGGTGGGAGGACATTGGAAGGAAAGGGTGAGGGGGAATGAGGATGGTAGGGAGGGAGGGAGGGAGGGAGGGAGGGAGGGAGGGAGGGAGGGAGGGAGGGAGGGAGGGAGGGAGGGAGGGAGGGAGGGAGGGAGGGAGGGAGGGAGGGACCAGAGTGGATGGCATGCGTGCAGCACCTTCCATGCCTCCAGCTGCTTCTGCATGGCGCTAGTGCTCACCTGGGGGGAATGGGGGGGGGGGGGGGGGGTGGAGACGAGGGTGAGGGGACATGGGAAGAAAAGCGTGAGGAGCAGCACCAGAGAAGGGGGCGAACCTGAGAAGGGGGCGAACCTGAGAAGGGGGCGAACCTGAGAAGGGGGTGAACCAGAGAAGGGGGTGAACCTGAGAAGGGGGTGAACCTGAGAAGGGGGCGAACCTGAGAAGGGGGTGAACCTGAGAAGGGGGTGAACCTGAGAAGGGGGCGAACCTGAGAAGGGGGTGAACCTGAGAAGGGGGTGAACCTGAGAAGGGGGTGAACCTGAGAAGGGGATGAACCTGAGAAGGGGGTGAACCTGAGAAGGGGGTGAACCTGAGTAGGCTGTCGTGTGCAAGAGTTTACCTCGAGTGGGCTGACAAGCAGCACAGGAATAGATTGGAACTTTGGCAGCACCACCAGTGGCACGGGCAGTAGCTTGCGGGGAATGCAAGTGGCTTCTCAGGCGCTTCAACCACAGGCCCACCTTGCTCTCACCTCAAGCGGGCTGGCGAGCAGCACGCGGATGGACCGGAACTCCGGGGGCAGCACCAGCGGCACCGGCAGCGCACCCAACGACGACCCTTGAGGCGCCTCAAAAGTCGCAACAAAAGAGCACCGGATTGACTCACCTCCAGCGGGCTGACGAGCAGCACACGAATGGATTGGAACTCTGGCGGTACAACCAGTGGCAGGGGCAGCGGGCCGGACGAGGGCGGCGCCTTGGACGGCGTGGAGGGGGTGGGGAGGGGCAAGTATAGAGCGGCACTCACCTCCAGAGGGCTGACGAGCAGCACACGAATGGATTGGAACTCCGGAGGCACAACCAGCGGCACGGGCAGCGGGCCGGACGAGGAGGGCGGCGCCTTGGACGGCGCGCCGGCCGCAGCAGGGGAATCCGGGGAGGGCAGCGACGCGGAGTGGCCCGAGTGGGCTGAGGGCGTGGAGGGTGTGGGGAGCGGCGGGTTGAGCGCGGCGACGGTGGCGTAGGCGGGGTGGTGGGTGTTGACGGGCAGGCGCACTGTGAAGGTGGAGCCTCGGCGGAACTCGCTGTGCACTGAGATGCGGCCGCCCATGAGCTCCACCAGCTGCTTTGAGATGGCTAGGCCGAGCCCTGTTCCTCCGAACCTTCGTGTTGTGGATGCGTCCACCTGAAGGCGGGGGGGTGAGGCACAGCAGGGACATGCCAGGGGGCAGGAGACACACGTGAGGCAGGGCACAGATGGCAGAGCAGGAACGGCTTTTGAGACGTCTCAAAAGGCAGGGCACAGATGGCAGAGCAGGAACGGCAGGCATGCATAGTTAGGCAGAATGGCAAGTCAACCAGGGTTTGAGATTTTGGCTGAGAGAGGGGCTGAAACTTAGCCAGATCAGGTGGGTGGACCCACCTGCGAAAACTTGGTGAAAAGTCGGCCAATGCGCTCCTTGGGAATACCAATCCCCGTGTCGCTGACGTGGCACACCCAGTACAGCACCCCCGCCTCCTGTGCCGCCGCTGCCTCCTGCGCGCGTGCCCTTGCCGCCCGCGCCTCCTGCTGCGCTGCCAGCATCGCCGCCCCAATGCTCCCTGACGCCCCGTGCGCGGGACTGTTCGTGCCACTCGCACCAGGAGACTCCCTGAAAGGGGACCCAGCAGCACCCCCTGCTGCAGCAGCAGCGGCAGCAGCAGCAGCAGCGGCGGAAGAGGCGGAGGCGGAGGAGGGGAGCTGCAGCAGGCACGGCGCGCCGATCTCCGCCTCCAACCGAAACTTCACATACCCCTTCTCAGTGAACTTGATCGCATTCGACACCAGATTAATCAGCACCTGCAGCGTGCGCCCGGCGTCCCCCACCAGGAACACGGGCGTGTCCGGCTCGATCTCGATCACGATATCTAACCCCTTGGACTCGGCGTTGTGAATGAGCAGCTCCGCGACCCTCTCTACTGCTTGAACGACGTTGAAGAGCGTCTGCTCCATGTCCAGCTTACCCGACTCGATCTTGGAGTAGTCGAGGATGTCGTTGATGATCTGCAGCAGCATGTCTCCCGAGTCTCGAATGGTCACCACGCGGTCGCGCTGCTCGGGGGTTAAGTCGGTGTCGAGGAGCAGGGCTGTCATGCCTACCACGCCGTTCATGGGTGTCCTGATCTCGTGGCTCATTGTAGCGAGGAAATCTGGAGGCGGGAGGGGAGGGGGAGGGGAAAAGGGAAGACAAGAGCTTGCTTGATCTTGGAGTAGTGGAGAATGTCGTTGATGATCTGCAGCAGCAGCAGCATGTCGCCTGAATCCCGGATCGTGACTACACGGTCGCGCTGGTCGGGCGTGAGGTCGGTGTCTAAAAGGAGGGAGGTCGGTGTCTAAAAGGAGGGAGGTCGGTGTCTAAAAGGAGGGAGGTCGGTGTCTAAAAGGAGGGAGGTCGGTGTCTAAAAGGAGGGAGGTCGGTGTCTAAAAGGAGGGAGGTCGGTGTCTAAAAGGAGGGAGGTCGGTGTCTAAAAGGAGGGAGGTCGGTGTCTAAAAGGAGGGAGGTCGGTGTCTAAAAGGAGGGAGGTCGGTGTCTAAAAGGAGGGCGGTCGGTGTCTAAAAGGAGGGAGGTGAGGTGAGGTGAGGTGAGGTGAGGTGAGGTGAGGTGAGGTGAGGTGAGGTGAGGTGAGGTGAGGTGAGGGGATCTCGTGCCACATAGTGGCTAGGAAGTCTGCAAGTGAAGGGAGGGGAGGGGGTTGTTGGGAAGGTGGAGGAAGGTCGGGAGGGTGATGTAGGGGAAAGTGGGGGGAGGGGGAGAGGGATGTGCTAGCTACTTGCAGGAAGAAGGGAAGGCACAAGACAAGAGTGGCCATACACACCTACTTTGGCGCGGGACACCCTTTCAGCCTCGTCCTTAGCATCCATCATTGCCTGCTCCGCCACCTTGCGGACCGTGTTATCCGCGTGCGTGGCCACGAACCGCAGCGGTGAGTGCTTTGATGCGAGTGGTTTGAGGGAAGGGACGGAAGGCCTTGGTGGTGGTGGGGGAGAGGGGGGGAAAGGTCAGAGCAACATGTCTGCGCACCTGCTTTGGCCCGAGACACCCTCTCAGCCTCGTCCTTGGCATCCATCATCGCCTGCTCCGCAACCTTCCTATCCGTGATGTCCGTGTGCGTGCCCACAAAGCGCAGCGGCTCCCCATCGTCGGTCTTGGAGAGCAGCTTGCCGCGGTGCAGGAACCACCGCCACGACCCGTCCTTGCACCGCAGCCGCTGCTCGTTCACAAACTGCGCCGTCACGCCGTCCAGATGCTCCTTCAGGTCCGCGTACGCGCGGTCCTTGTCCTCCGGGTGGAGCAGCCGCTCCCAGTCATCTAGCGTCGATCCAATGTCGCCCGGCTCGTAGCTGGAGGAAGGAGGGGAGGCGGAGTGGGAAGAAGTAGAATTGGGAGGCGGGCATGAGTGGGAGGGGTGTGAAGGCAAATACCAGCCCATGTGTCGCACTCCAGCTGGTCCGATTGATCTTGCTTCCATCAGTCACATTAATTTCACCCAGCATGTGCTGCACTCACCTCATCCAAGTGCCCAAGCATGCACTCACCCACCCTTCGCGCCACTCACCCGAGCATCTGCTTCCAGCGGTCGGAGAAGAACATGGTGTTGTCGCGCACGTTCCAGTCCCACACGCCGTCATCACTGCCCGACAGGGCATACAGCCACCGCTCCTCGCTCTCCTGCTTGCATGCACGGTGGGAGAGTGCAGAATGGAGCATGTGGGATTGGTGAGTGGCGCACGGAGTGGCACATGGACAAATGGTGAGGGGATGGGGACCCAGGAGGTGGTGCACTCTGACTTTTGAGTCGACTCAAAAGTCACCTCAGGAGGTGGTGCACTCTGACGCACCACTGCCTGATACAGTGTCTCCCTAACAACGCCCTTTCTCACCTTGAGCTTCTTCTCCGCCTCGAGTCGTTCGGAGATGTCTCTGAGCACCGCGACATAGAAGACGGTGTCGTAGTTGCCCTTGGACAGCGAGATCTCGAGGGGGAACGTGCTGCCGTCCGTGCGGAACCCAGTGCCCTTGTGCACCTGCCCTGACGCGTGGTCCAGCCCTGGTGCACGAAGGAGGACAAAAAAGGGGGGTGGGAAAGAGGAGAGAGAGGAGCGGTGGGAGAGGGAGATGGCGCAGCACGCTCAAAGCACCACCGCACCGCTCACCCTACAAGAGCAATTCCTGCCACATCCTCCCCCGTTCTTCCTCAGAGCGAAGCCCCATTAGCACCCACCCCCCTTCCCTCCTCCCGGAGCAGCACGCACCCCCGCCAGGGAGCATGTCGCGGTGCCCATCAATCTCCACGAAGGTCCTTGAGCTGCAGGTTGGCGGGTGCAGCCACGCCCTCTCAACTCAAGAGCACGAGCATGTCAACTCCAATATAGCACAGCAACACTGCACACAAGAGCAAGCCCAACAGCACACACCTCCAGCAGTGAGCATGTCGCGGTGCCCATCGATCTCCACGAGCAGGTCCTTGAGCTGCAGGTTGGCGGGCGCCGCCACGCCCTCGCGCATGCTGCCCGGCAGGGGCGCGTCCCCCGGCTGCGCGAAGCCAAACATCTGCCGCGCTGACAGGTTCATTGACGTCACATGGCCGCTGTGGGCCAGGGACATGATTCCCTCCTTTGCCACCTGGAAGGGTGGGAAGGGGGTGAGAGCAGAGAGTGGGTGCCATGCGTCCATGAGAGAGTCGTCAAGAGAAAGGCTCATGGACGTCACGTGGGTGCTATGCGCTCTGCCTGCTGCCCTCTTGCCTCCTGCTGTCCTCTCGCCCCTTCCTGCCCTCTCCCTCCTGCCCTCCTCCCCTCCACCTCCCTCTCCCCCTCTATCGCTCATGGACATGACGTGGGTGCTCTGCGCTCTGCCATCTCCCTCTCTTCCTCGCCCCCTCTATTTCAAGTTACTTAACTGCACAAGGCTCAATAAGTGCAGCTCTGCTTCCTTGCACCTCTTCCTTCTGAATTATCTACGCTATCGTCATGGTGAGCAGTTCCATCTCCCTCTCCCTCTCCCTCTCCCTCTCCCACTCCTTCTCTTTCTCCTGTTACTCACCTGCACTACGCTCGACAAGTGAAGCTCCGCCTCCTTCCTCCTCTTCCGCTCATTCACGGCATAGATCATCTGGGCGATGGTCATGGTGAGAGGCTCGATCTCCTTCACGAGCTGCTCGTCGTACCCCGCCGCCCGGTTGGCGACGGCAAAGACGCCGATGAGCTCGGTGCCGGTGTAGAGGGGGATGCCCATGAACTTGTCGATCAAAGGGTGGCCTGGAGGGACTCCTCTCGACCTGGGGTCGTTGCGAGCGTCGTTCGTCAGCACCTGTGGGCAGGGCAGGGCAGGCATTAGCATAGGAGAGAGTGAGGGAGTGAAAGTACGTGGTTGGCGACGGCAAAGGCGCCGATGAGCTCGGTGCCGGTGTAGAGGGGGATGCCCATGAACTTGTCGATCAAAGGGTGGCCTGGCGGGACTCCCCTGGACCTGGGGTTGTTGCGCGCGTCATTCGTGAGCACCTGAGCGCAGGGCAGGGCACGGCAGGGCAGGGCATTGGCATTGGCATTGGAATAGGAAAGAGTGCGTGAGTGCTCGGCTGGCCACGTGTAGAGGGGGATGACCATGAAACGCTCTATCAGGAGAGCAGGCAGGTGGGTGTGCTCTGGATTCACATACGCAGAAGCAAATGCAACAGCCTGCTGGCTGCCAGTTTGTCCCCCTTGCATAAACCTGCTGGCCTGGGAGCAGCACACCACACCACACCACACCACATGCATGCCTGCCTGCCACCAACTCTCAAGCGGTGCACCTGGGTTCACCACCTGCTGCTGCCTGCTCTCGACCATTTGCTGCCCTCTCTAACCCACCTGTTGCCCCGTGAGCACCACAGTGCCGTGCAGCGTGTTGAGGTTGGTGCACACCAGCCCAGCCCCTTGTGGCTGTTCGCCCTTGGCTTCTCGCTCACCTGCTGCCGCGTGAACAGCTGCGTCATGCCAGCAGCACGTGCCCGGCATGCGCCTGCTGGCCCTTCTCGCCCTCAACACCAACCCACCTGCTGCCCTGTGAGCACGACGGTGCCGTGCAGCGTGTTGAGGTTGGTGAACACCAACCCCTTGTGGCTGTTCGCCGCGTACCACGCGCGCAGCTCCTTGCTCCACGCCACGTTCGTCATCGCGTGCGTCTGGAGGGAGTGTGGGGCGGAGGAGGGGATGAGGGGAAGGGGAGGGAGAGAGCAGTGAGTGATGGTGGGGAGAGAAGGAGGTTGAAGGAGCGGCAGAAACAGGAGAGGCGGCGTGGCAGCGTGCACAGCCTGCTGATGACAGCTTGTTGCATCACCGCGTGAGGCAAGCCATCATCACACGCACCTTGAGGTACGGTGTGCCGTCGGCCTTGAGCAGAGCGGACGAGATGAATCCAAACATGGACTCGGTGACCTCCAGCAGCGCGGACAGCAGGTAGTCAAACACCAGGCTGCCGTTCGGCTCCTTGTCGATGAAATACACCTGGTGCGCGCGCGTGATGGCCGCCAACAGCTTCCTCTGCAGCACCTCCGTGTTGCTCATCGTCCGCGCCAGCCCGCCCCCGCCCCCAGGCCCCCCTCCGCCTCTTCCCCCGCCTCCGCCCACTCCCCCCATCTCCAACCGCGCGCGCACCTCCTGCAGGGCGCTTTCGTCAAAGTTTCTGTTCCCCTGCGCCTGGTAGTCCCCCCCAGGGCCGAGCCGCCCGCTGTTCTCCCCGCTGCCCTCCCCGTCCGCGCTGCTGCTGCGCAGGTGCGGGCATGCGTCCGGGCCTAGCCCGGCGGTGAAGGTGCTGGCGGTGGTGGTGGAGGCAAGGGGGGAGGCATCGAAGGAGTGGCGCTTCGAGGAGGGATTCAGGGGGGACCCGCCCCCGTGACTGCGCGCGTCCACACCCCCCCTCTGCACATCCCCTCCTCTCTGCTGCTGCCAGGAAGGTGCGGAGGACCTTCCGCTGCCGTCCGAGTGGAGGGGGGAGGAGGCGGGTTGGCCGGCGGTGCTGGGGGGGGTGATACCGCAGCGCTGCAGCAGGGCCATGGCTACAGGGTGCTCGGTGAGATCGTCCCTGGGGCTGCCACAGCGGCGGCACCGCCACGTGGATTCCACCCACCCCTTGAACGCCGCCCACTCCTCCTCCTTCATTCTCCCCAGCACCTCCCACGGCCGTACCGCCGAGCCTGCCTCGCTGGCTTGGCGCCAGGGTTCCGAAGCTGCGCCCGAGGCTGTGCCGTGCGGCGTGGGGACGCCCTGCGAGGGGTAGTAGTCGCGCGAGGCGGGGTACGCGCCTCGCCCCATGCCGTCGTCCTGCTGCGCCTTCGCCTGCACCCCTCCCGCGCCCGCGCCAGGCACCCGCGCGTCCCTGGGCGGAGTTGCTCCCCCCACTGCCCCAACCATCGTCGCCCCAACCAATGCGCTCATGTTAACCCCCCCCATTGGGCTCGTTCCCCCCGGCCCTGTTCCGCCCATGCCCTCCTGCGCTCTGCTGCGCTCCGCGCTTCTCCGCCCGGTAGCGGCGGCGGCGGAGCCTCCGCCCGTCCAATGGGGAGCCTGCATGAGCGGCTGAGAGAACGGCGCTTGCTGCTGCGGAGGGGGCGGCGGGTGCGCTTGCACCTGCGACGGCTGCGCTTGCGGGCGCTGCGCAAACTGCTGCTGTTGCCGCTGCTGCTGCTCGTCGCGTGCTCCCCGCTGCAGAACCCCCTGCTGCCCCCCCGCACCCATCGGTTTCGGGGATAGTTGCGTGGGCGACGCCAGCGGCTGCTGCGACGCCTGCGGGGAGCGCTGCGCCGCCTCCTGCGCCTCCGCCGCTTGCGCCCCCCCTGGAGAGGATGACTCCGCCTCGCCTTTCTGCCGCCGAGCCTTACTGAGGTTGCGCTGGGAGTTGGATTGAGTCAGCGAGTCGCCCTTTTTGCCGAATAGGTTGTTCCAACCCATGATGGCCGGCAGTGAAGGTGGTTACAGACTGTTTGGAGAGATGATGTGGGGGGGATGGTGTGTGACGGCCGGTATACGATTGCTGCTGAAACGACACGAGACGAGAAGGCGAGTCGGAAAGCAAAATTTCAAGTGCAGTTGCGTTATGTGTGAGTTACGGTAGCCATTCTATCAAGGAACCGGTTTTAGTGTAAGGCAATACGTGGGAATAAACACTAATATTTATATTGTTGAAGCGTTAACCTACATCATGCGCTAAATCGCAGTGTGCTTCGGCAGAATGCGACACGAGGACGGAAAGCGCTGAGCAATGCAGCATGGAGCGTCGCGGAATAAAGTGAACTACCTTCAGACGATCCGAGCACCAACTTTCTCCAATATTAGAAACCTATAACCTGGCAGCGCGCTAGGTCAATAAGTGAAACACGCTAGCCGAGGCACCCGCCGCATACGGAATGGATGAATCGACCAGCATCCGCTGGCGAATGATTGGCTTGTGGTGGCGGACAGGACGACAGCTCAGCTCACAGTCACGCGACAATACCTTACCTTAGCAGGCACCAGGTGCGTGGAGGAGGAACAGTTGGTTGGTAGCCTCTGGTGTTTGGTGGGACGAGTCGACGAAAGATTGCGAAACAAAATGTAACGCGACAGTTCCCACGAAAAGGAGGAAGTGGGGTTGTGTCAGGCCTGGGCTGTGGCGGTCACGTGGGCGGCATGTTTTGGTTAGACTCCAGACCAGACTGCCACGGCAGACAGTCTGACAAATATCCACCCAACATCTAGGTAAGCTCAATCAGAGTTGCAGCGCGTACGGTGGTTTGAACCAGCATTAATAGTAACATTCATACTCCACCCAAATCTTCACCAGCACATTTCATGATTACTTTTCTGAAAGCTTCTAGTCAAACCAGACAACTACTGTTTAGTACGAATTTTCATCATAAACTGTTTCAAGAACAGCCGTGCAGCTTACTGACCCTAATCATCCTACCTGCACTAACCACATCATTTTTCACCACCACCTTTTCTCGCAGTCATCAAAATCCGGTGCAACTCCTTTGCCTCCGCAAGAGCCCCTTTCTTGCAAGCCAGCTTTGCAATCGGGAACAGCGCTCCATCATTCAGCAGCACCGCAGGCGCCACAACCCCTGTGGTAACCAGATGGTGCAGCGTCCACAGCGCCTCCTCCCTTGCCCTCTCAGACTCACTCTCCAGCACATCCGATATCACAAGCGTCCCTTCCACTGCCAACAGCGCCTCTTGCCCGCCACGTGTCCTCGCAAGATTGGCCAACACAGCCATGGCCTTCTCCTCAACCCCTGGCCTTTTATCCCCCAGAAGATCCACTAGAATGCTCACAGCGCCTTCCCTCACGATCTCATTCGCACACGACAGGTCCTGTGAGAGGGAGAAGAGGGCAAGCCCTGCATCCTTTCTGCACCGCGCAGTCTCATTCGTGAGCAAACGGACAAGCGAGGGAATGGCCCCGGCAGCTTGAATCTTTGTCTTGTGGATGTTCCTGCTCGGGCCAGCCCCGTTGCCATTCCTGCTCGCATTCACAGATTCATCCATCACATCGTCCCACGAGGAAAGCGCAAACAGCGCCGCAGCTGCATTCCCCTTCACCATGCTCGAAATGCCTGATGCAACTCCTGCTGACGCTCCTGCTCCTGCCTTGCTGGCTGGCCCAGTGTGAGAGAGCACATCCACGAGGGTCGGCACGCCGCCCACGTCAATGAACTCGGCAGCGCCATCGTGCGACTGGCACAGCTGTAGCACCACAGCCACTGCACAGTCCACCACCAGTGCAGGATCCATCACTCCCCGCCCCCGCCCCTCCCGCCCTGCCGCCCTCCCTCCCCCTCCGCCCAGAGCAGCAACGGCCTCATCGAGAAAGTCAAGAAGGATGGGCACCCCGTCTTCTCGCTCCAGCAGCCGCTGCCTGTTCTCACAGCTCTCCTTCACTGCTGCTCTCAGCTGCACCACCGCTTCCACCCGCTGCTCTGCTGACCCTCGATCCATCGCCTCAACCATCCCATCAACGGTTGTCATTGCACGTGGCGGAGGTACCTGCGATCCCTGCTGCTGCCCTGAATGTCTGTGCTGCTGCTGCATCACCTGCTGAACCTGAGGGGACAGGGGAGGGAGGGGGGCGCCCGTGCTACTGCCCCCACTGCTTCTTCTAGAGAGCCTGTGCCTGGGTGAGCTCGCAGTTATCGACCCTCCCCTCGGAATCCCAGGTCCTACCTGCATTTCAGCTGCGGCGCTCCCCCCTGCCGCCGCCCCGCCACTGGGCCCCCTGCCATGGCCCCCGCTTGCCTGCTCCTGAGGCGACCACAGCCCGCCGCCCGCCCCTTCCCGCGCGGAAACCCGAACTCCCGCCCCTGATGTCACCCCTCCTGCCCGCGGTGGCAGCTGCGGGGAGGCCACGGCTTCAGGATTGACAAGCGGACGGGTGAGCTTGCCTGAGGCTTGTAACGGGGACAGCCTGCGCTGTCTGCGTGCTGCTAACGAGCCAGCCCCGCTGGACGACGGGCCCGGTTCCCGGCCTGTTTGCGGGCCTGATCCCGCCACCGGGGACGCTGCTCGATCGTACACCACAGCTCCAGCCAGAACAGACGGGTCTAGCCGGCCGGCAGCCAGAGGATCGTGGCTGCCGTCCCAGCTCATAGTGCGCCGGCGGTCAGGCCGCAAATGGGGCGCCGCGACGGGCCCTTTCTTCCGCTCCAGCGGATGCTCTCCCCCTACCGGCGCAGTTCCCGCTCGTGCCATGCCTGGGGCACCCGAGTCCATGGCTGCTGTTCGTACGCCTGCTGCATTTAAACCCAACCCTGCAGCCCTACTCCCCGGGGAGGCGAATCCGTCCGTTAACGAAGCAGGTCCCCTGCCGTGACTGGCTGCGTTTGAACCCTCATGTGCAGCTTCCCTCAACCCGGCGACGGCCATTCTCTGTTGCTCGTGACTGCGCCGCCGCTGCGCGTCCGCTTCTCGACCGCCGGGAGCCTCGCGCTCCCGCGCGGACATTGTCGAAAGGGCCTGCCGTCGGTTGCGCGCGGCCATCTCGCTCCCGCTGCTCCCCGCGCCATCATCGCTGTTCCGCGGCCCCTCACGTGCACTGCCGGAGCGGAGCGCACTGTTGGAGTTAAAGCTCCCGAAGAACGCGGAATCTGCTGCGGAACGAGTTCTGCGATGACCTTTCGCGTGACCTGATTGGTCGGCTTGCTCATGCGGAAGTGATAACATATGTCGGACGTCCTGATTGGTTGCCGCCTGGCGACTGACGGTTTGTTTCTGGCCGGCAGAAAGCTTAACGTTGTGCTTGGCGCACCACTCCATGATCAACGCCTTGAGAGCCACATTCGGAAAGTACTCGGTGTGGCGAACTTTTTCTCCTGACCGCGGGCAGGTCATGTGACCGGCGTCGAACCAGGCTTGGATATACTCGCGCTCGTACGTCAATCCCGAGGCGATAATTACGGGCTCCGCCATAACGCGATCCGATAAAGGGCAGATGAACTCGAGAGGGACCTCCAAGTCGGCATCTTCTCCTCGCGACATCGTAGCAGAAAAGCAGATTTCAAAGGAAAAACACGAGTGAGGTCTCTAGTTAAAACACGCATACAGTAATTTATGGGTGCTCATCTTTCCAACATTGACTAAAACGGCCAAACAGCTTCATTCAGTTTTCCATTGACTGAAACGGAGTGATGCGCTGAGAGTGGGCTGGGAGGCGAAGTGTGGAGGGTAGGGAGAAGGTGGGCCGTTGAGCAAGGGCAGTGAAAGCCGTGCCAAGGTAATCCCAAGGCGAAAGCACTCGTGACAAAGGAGGACACAGGGTTCAAGTTGGCGACATGAAGTGGTTTGATCGACCGCGCCCTGGTACAGATGTCAGATATTCCCGAAATGAATCTTCCAAAATATGGGCAGTGTGAGGCGATAGAAACATGATGAGAGCCACAAGATCGCCGACTTTCGCCAAAGGCTTCGCACATCCTTCGCGATATCTAGCTGGCAACAACCAGAGGTTCGAGTGACGACGAACCTTGGAATTGGGGCACACCGCAGGTCGGCCACAGCTCTCATAAATTCGCTGGAGGTCGCGGAAGGGAAGTCCGACAAGCCTGGGGATTTGGGCAACCTGTAAGCGCGCGATGCCTGCTGCTGGGGTTGGGTTGCGGGGGGGGGGGGGGGGAATTCACAATTCACCAATGCGCCCAGAGAGTCAGACCGCCGCGCAATCCGGTGACGGTGCAATCCGCCAGGCTGTTCTGCTCAGAGCCAGCCTCGTCAAAGAGACATAGAATACTTTCAGTGTACTCAACGCCAATTCTACTCCCGCTACATTCACAACTGCCTGCTTACCATCCTCTCACTGGTCATTTCCACATCATCGAACCAAAAGGGTGGATTTCATTGTGGAGCATGATCTTGTCTGCGCAGAACACCAGCGCTTGCGACCATTCACGCGCATTAGCCGCGCATTTGACGGATGCCTCGTTGCTTCCGACCTGACCTGGTCTTTTCAGATTCAGATAGCCTAGCAACTCTTTCAATGCACCTCGTATCGAAGCATCTTCTTACCCTTGGGTAAATCGCTAAGTTATACTGTTCGCTAGGAGCAACACATCAGCAATAATGTACAAGCCACGTGTCAAAGCGCACAAGTCCAAGAATCTCCATCACTCCGACGGTGCGAGGGGGTGGCCCCCGGAAGAGTCCGCGGCGTCCGCCGCTACCCACTCCAGCGGAGAATGGAGCGGAACTGCAGAGGCTTTGAGCGCTGGAGAAGCTGTAGGCGGAATGGCGGCGGGCGGAATGGGCGCGGGCGGAATGCCGGTGAGCAGCCCGGACATTCTGGGAAAAGGGTGCTTCAGCTGGCGCGGCGTGTTTCACAAGGACCACGGCGCGCGCTTGCTTAAATTAGAAGGCGGCGGTGTAGCGGAGGTGCTTGTAGTGGATCCTGGGCGTAGAGACGACGAGGTGAGAACCCATCATGGGTATGCTATGGCGGGTTTCAGCGGAGGGGGAGAGCATGCGGGGATGACGGGCGCGCACGGACAGGGGGAGGACGTGGGGGGATACGAGCGTGGTAGTGATAGGGTTGGGGGGAGAGGTGAGTCAATGGCAGGGGCGGAGAGGGAGCAGGAGAGGGCGTTAGGAGTGGAGGAGCGAGGCTGTGTCTGTATCGTGTCTTCTGCTGCTGCTGTCGTGGGGTCCGGTGAAACGCATGACCTCTCAGTGCGTACGGACGACACGGTTTCATCCGACGTAGCGACGGTCGGTAGCGTTTCATCTGCACGCCTGAACGCTGACGGCGTTTCATCCAGCCGTGCGGCCGCGGCGGACGGAGCAGGCGCGTGGGAAGCAGCTTCAGGGTCAGCGCGAGAGCGAGACACCACGAGTGCATCACAGGAGATTCCACTCGAGGGAGGTGTGGGCGAGGGGGGCAGGGGCGAAGCAGCACGTGGGAGAGTGGAGAGTGACTTGCTAGCCAATGGGGATGTGGCGGCAGGGAGCACTGGTGCTGTCACTGGCATCAGTGGGTATTCTCCTCTCACCACCGCTGCGCCCACTCAGGTGCTCCCTGTCCCTGTGGATCCCTCTCTCACTTGCCCTCCCTACCCTCCCTCATTGTCTACTCACCCTGACGCAACCGCCTCTTCTCCTTCCGCCCTCGCCTCCGCCCTCACCTCCCCTCCTCTCAACCTTTCTTCGCCACCCCTCTCCGCGGCTCCTCCCACGGACGCCACCCCCTTGGGCCCTCTCCCCACCATCACTCCCTCCGCCACCGCCCCTTCCCTCCCCAGCCTTTCCGCCCCCCAACCGTCCGCGCCCCCCCCTCGGCCCCACACCGCCGCAGCATCCTCCCTCCCCCGCCCGCCCCACGCCCTCCCCCCCACCCCCGCCAGCAGGGAAGGGGGGCACCAGAGGGGGGCGAGAGGGGGGGTGAGCAGGGAGGGGCGGGGGGGGACGGCGGGGACGGGCAGTGGGCGCAGTGGGGTGTCGAGCGGGGGCAGGTGGAGTGGGGGAGGCGGGGGAGGGGGGGGAGCGGGGTTTCATGCGCGCAAGCTGTCAACAGACGACAGCTTCCTGGGTCTTTCCTCCCGCAGTCCGCTAGACACGTCCGCCTGCACTGCCAGGACGCCCCGCCTCTCCCCCCACCCGCCCGCTGCTGCTGCCACCGCCGCCGCCACTGCCACTGCTGCCACTGCCGGTGGCCACAGCACAAGTGCTGCTGCTGCCACCGATGGTACTGCCAGCATTACAGCCCCATCTGCTCCAGCATTTCACCCCGGTCTGCCCCCAGCCACCCCACCCACCACAGCCTTCCCCCCGCCCCCCTACCCCACCACCCCTCTCACTCTCACCTCGCCCTCGTTCCCCCTCGTCCACTCAGACACTGCCACGTCACCCAGCATCATCCACAAGTCGCCGTCCACGCCGTCCGTCTCCACCGACGATGAGCTGGCGCCGCTGCCTGGCCTTGGGATTGCCGGGGCAGGGGCGAGAGCGGGAATGGAGGGGGGAATGGTGGGAGGGGGCGCAGCAGAAAGGGGAGCTCTGGGGGAAGGGGAGGGGATGGGGGGAGGGGCGGGAATGGGGCAGTACGGGGGCGCATATATCCCCAGAATCGAGAGTGTGGGCAGCAGCAGTGGGTCGGTGGTGGCAGGAGATGGGCTGGTGGGCGTGCCAAGGCCGAGCACGCTCAAGACGTGGAAGTCCATGCACTCCCACCGCCATAAACTCGCCCGCGGGCTGCTCTTTGCTGGTACGCCATACCATGAGCCGAATCTCTAAAAGTGTCCCACGCACTGGTGGGCGTATGGCTTGCGTTTACTCAACCCGAATGTCTTTTCCTGCTGGCTCTTGTCCTCCGTCGCCCCTCCCAACCCCTGCCGCACCAGCCTTCACTCATCCTCTCCTTCGCGCTCTCCCCCCAATGCACCACCTCCCTTCCTCCCCCCACCCTCCTTACCCGGTGGCAGGAGGGGAGAGTGGGGAGGAGGGCGGAATGAGCCCCAGGGGCCTGGCGTTCATGGCAGGCGCCCGGCGCAGGGGGCTGTGGCGCCGCACCGTCACGCCCAAGGAGTGTGAGTGGGGGGGGTTGTAATGCGGTTGAGAGGGGTGCTCTGTGGTTCCGGATTATGCATGCAGGAAGTGTGAGTGCAGGGGTTTGTAAAGCGGTTGAGCTGGGTTGTGTGGGGAAGCGAGTGAGGGCTGACTGATCGAGATGACTGTGCGTTCTTCTCCGCACCTGCCACCTGCTCACCACATCCCCTGCTTCTCTCGTTTCTCCTCCCCCTTTTGATCTATCTCTTTTCTCCTCCCCTGAGTCTGCGCCATTCACTCACACTCCCCACCCCGTTTGTAAAGCGGTTGAGCTGGGTTGTGTGGGGAAGCGAGTGAGGGCTGACTGATCGAGATGACTGTGCGTTCTTCTCCGCACCTGCCACCTGCTCACCACATCCCCTGCTTCTCTCGTTTCTCCTCCCCCTTTTGATCTATCTCTTTTCTCCTCCCCTGAGTCTGCGCCATTCACTCACACTCCCCACCCCCTCCTTCCCCCATCTGTCCCTCCACCAACCTTGTCCAACACACCTTTTCTTTGCCCCTACACCTTCCTGCTCCCCTCCTCAGCTGTCAAGCGCCTGCTCATGTGGCCCCAGGCGGGTTCTCAGGTGTCCCGCTGCGCCCCAGGTGATTCCTCTGCTGAAAACTCCTGGTCGCCTGTGGACCCTGCTTCCTTTGACGTGCGCGGAGAAACTTTTTTATCTGACCGCCGCAAAGTGCCCGCCTGCCCGCCGGCCATTTACGAGCCGTGGGGCGTGGACGTCTTTCACACGCCACTCAAAATCCGCCACGTGGCAGAGCATGTGGAGCTGCCTGCTTCCCTCTTTGGCAGGGGCGGTGGGGGGGAGAGTGGGGAGGTGCAGCAGGAGGGGGTGGAAGGGGGGGAGATGGGGCAAGGGGAGGCAGATGGTTGCATGGATGGCGTGTGTGCGGAGGTCTATGGGATGGGAGAAGAGGGAGAGAGCGGAGACGAAGGAGAAGGAGGAGGAGAAGGAGAATGGGGAGAGGGGTGGGTGCTGCCTGAGGTGCTGGTGGTGAACCTGCAAGTACCGCTCTACACCACTCTGCCGCTACTACAGCAGGAGCAGGACGGGGAGGGAATCAGCCTGGTGCTCTACCTGAATCTCAGCCCTGCTTATGCCCGCGGCGTGCCACCATGCCTCGCTGCCATGCTCGAGGTAAGCCAGGCCACTTTGTGAGGTGTCCGTGACTACGTGCCGCCCCGATCCTCCTCATGTGCTGTTTGCTGCCGCATGTCCGCCTTCATGCAGCAATGTAGCCTCCCAATTACACCTTCGCTTGCCCCACCCTCCCATCACTCTTTCCTTGCCCTTCTCCTCTACTCCCCTGCTCCCATCCTCCCCGCCTCCTCTGCTCCCCTGCCCCATGTCTCCCATTCTCCCACCAGCCTCTGTGCCAACCGCCAGCGCCAACTTTCTCTCCGCAGCCAGGGATGGGAAGCAGCATGCAGGTGCCCGCGGCCACAGAGGAGAGCACTCCTGACTGCACTGCAGCGGTAGCGGCTGTAGCAGGGCCTGGCGTGGGGTACAGTGCTGCAGATGCAAGTCATTCGCGCTCTGGCAGCAAGGGGAGTGGCATGGGTGGCAGCAGCAGCGGGAGGGGGGGTAAGGCAGTTGGGGGCAGTGAGGCCGGGCGGAAAGAATCTCCAAACGCGTTCAAGTGGGATCGGCCGAAGCTGCTGGCTCGGGTGGTGAACGAGGCAGGCATGGGGCTAGGCTCGGGTACAAAGAAGACGGTACAGAGCTGGAGTGGACAACCCATCCTGACTCGCTCCCACCACTCGCTCATTCGAGTGAGTGATCCCTGCTTCTGGTCCTGGAGGAACAACTCTGATGTTCCTGGTCAAATTTCAACAAGTCTGTCTGTCCTTTGAGAATGGCAGAGTGTCCACACAAGTGTGCTCGTTCCGCTTGTCACGTGGCCTGCTCTCATCAGTTTCCCTTTTCTTGCCGTGTGTGTCGGTCGCAGGGAGAGAGCAAGCCGTATGTGGAGATGGATATTGATGTGCATCGCTTCCCCAACCAGGTCAAGAGGGGCCTGCTCCCTCTGCGCCGCCACCTCTCCTCCTGTGTCTTTGACATCGCCATCATCCTTCAGGTATGCTTCACTCCCTTTTTCAGCGTTCATGTGCGTTACTGTTGTGTTGCTTGCTCCTCATGTATCGTAATTGTCTGGTTTGTCTGTTCCGTTACACAATTCCTGTCAAGCAGGGTGTCAGCCCAGAGGAATTTCCCGAGCCGATTCTCGCCTGTGTCCGCCTGCATCGTCTTGACCTGTCCCAGTTTGGATCTCTAGGCTCGGGATTGTGATGGTCATCACTATTATCTATGCTTTTAAAATGTTCTGTAGGCTCCAAGTTAGGTTAGAGCGCTGTATACTGCTCCCATTAACCTACGGTACTACTACACAATCGAGTCGTTTCCCAGCGCGAAAAAAGGACTGGCTGGGCTACCAACCACTCAAGCACCCCTCTTTCCACCCCCCGCTAATCGCACAGCTGCACGGCAAGGCACGCCGCGCAGATCACCGTTGCAACGAAAATGTTCGCTACAGAACCAGCACTCAACCCTTCTTCGCCGCATGAAAGCTCGTAGTAACGCACTTAACCCCGGAATGTAACCCGCACCCCTCCAGGTGGGCACACAACCAGCACGATATGTCACAAATCCGTGCCATCCCATCCCATGTTGCAGCACCAACTCACCACCATGTCACGCCATGCTGATAGAAACAACAGAAGCTGGTCCTTGCTCGCTTCGCCTCCTCGCCTCTCCTCGACTCCCGTTGGCAGTACTCAACAAAGCAGCACTCTCATCCAACCGACCAACTATGTGGGACAGACTGGGTCGAACCGGGTCGGCTAAAGGGCGTATTAGGGATTTATTAGAGGCGGAACTAAGCGGATTAACTTAGCGGCGTGCTGTAGGCATTTTATTAGTTAGTGCGCAAGCGTGCTTTTCGGAGGTAGCTTTCAGCGCGCCGTATTCCTCTCCGGAAATGGCGCTGCTGACAGGGTTCCTGCAGCGCCGATTGGCCTCGCGGAGTTCCCAAGGAGCGCATAGGGGGTTGCAGGCGCAATATGGGGGAGAAGCGGGGGAAGAGGGGGAAAGGTCAGACGACGATTGGCGAAACAGCGAGTTCGGATTCTCCGGGCTTGCTACTATCGCGGACGTAGTGGATGAACTGGACGGCGAATGGATGGACGACACGTCAGCGGGAGGAATCGAGGCTGAACACCCAACGCATTCTCCCTTGGCATTGCCGACAGCGAGTGAAACGCGCATGCCAGGCGGCAGCAGCAGCAGCATCAGATTCCACAATCGACCCCGTCGCGGCACGGCAAAGGCCCGGCGCTGGCAGTCGTTCTCCCCCTCGCCGTGTGTCTGCCCGCCCCTCTCCGCCTCCTTCCGCCCCATCTTCTTCCGCAACCTCCGCCTCCCCGCGTACTCCGTCATCTCCACTCCCCCTTCCTCCTTTCCGCCTTCCCCTGCGCCTTCGTACCTCTCCGCCACTTCCTCCGCCACCTCCGTACCTATTCTCCGCCACAGGTCCGCGGATTCTCCTTCCCCATCCTCCTCCTGTAGCACTTCCACCTGCGCCTCCCCCACCTCCTCCGCGGGGCATCCCCCCGATGCTGGCATGCCGCCGCTCCCCCGCCAGGTCGACTGGCGCAAGTTCGACTCCCCCTGGCGCGCAATGCTCTTCCGCATCTGCGGGTTCCAGTCCGCCGTGCTGCAGCGGCGCCAGCACGTCTTCGTCATGCGCCACGCGGAGCGCCTAGACGCCGTCGATCCGCGATGGGCGCAGCGGGAGCCCACCAGCCGGCCGTGGGATCCGCCGCTGTCGGAATGGGGGCGGTACCAGGCGTACCAGGTGGGGGTGCGGTTGAGACGCGAGGGGTGGGGGGTGACGCGCGTGGTGTGCGCGCCGTACGTGCGCTGCGCGGAGACGGCGGCGGAGCTGATAGCGGCGATGAGCAGCACGCCTGACATGGACTACGCGCCCTCGGGGCCCGGGTATGGGCGCTCCTCGTCGCCGTGCCTGCCGCTGCCGCGCGTGGGGCGCGGTGGTGCGGAGGGTTGCAGGACGGTGGGCGTGCAGCGCCATATCCTCCGAGCCATGCAGGTGCTCAGGTCTGGGGTGAGGCTCGGGTGCAGGGTGCGAGAATTGGGGGTGAAAAGGGGGAAGAATGTCAGGTTCTGTGCCGATAACAAATGAGGTGGACTATGCGAGGGGAAGTCCTTGTGCTCAGCAATTTCCAGATTTGCTGCAACTGCGTGCCTTCTCCATTGACCCTTCTCTCCCGTGTTCTGTCCATCACCCCTCCAACATCCGCTGACAGCAACCGCTGACGCCCGTGCAGGCTCTGCAGCACCGGAAGCGAAAGCATGCGAGAGACGTGGCCGGTTCTCTTTCCGGTTCATACCACGATCCTGCTGATCGGAAGGCTCAGGAAGCAGCTTCGGCGTCTGACATGTGGCAGGCAGGCATGCCAGTCCCTCTGCCCCTCATCCATGCCTGCATCGACTACTCCCTCTGTGAGGTGATCCCGCCCGGAACAGCACGGCCGCGTTTGTCCCATGCGCTGGCGGGTCGGGCGGCGCTGGAGGCATTGTTGCCGGCAGAGTGTGTGGAGAGGGTGGGGTGGACAGTGACAGGAGGCGCGGACTTGAGGGTCCCAAGGGGACCGGAGGAAGTGGAGCGGGCGGCAATGAGACTGGTGACAGCCATAGACCGAATTGCAGAACAGGTAGGGAAGGGCTTGGGGGCCCCAAGTTACTGCACTTGATTTATCAGTGGAATATCATTTCATGCACTAAGCACCAGTCTTCTTTCGTTGTGCTGTGCTGTCTTGTAATTTGCAGTGGCCTGAAGAGAACATAATCATTATAGGCCATGCGGAGGCATTGCATGCATCTGTGCTCCGATGTCAGGCAAAGGTACCCCTTCCTCATTGAGCCGTCTTTTCAGTGAAACACTTCAGAAGCTTTTGCCAATAACCCTTGTACACACATACACTCACACACTTCCCCTCCCCACTGCTTTTCTTTATTGTTGCAGGCCAATGTGTACAATATACTGATGGCAGCATTTGTGCATCTACAACGTAACGTATATCAAGATAGGGAGGACGAGGATGAGAGGGGAGTTGGTGAGTGGCAGCTAGCCATAACCTCTGGAATGTCCGGTGTATACTTCACATAAAATGTGTAACAAATTTGCTGTACACAGTGATCTCTAGCACCTGCTCTTCCAAAAGGCCTACATTATTATGAAGAAATAGGTTTAACGTGCACAGACATGTGCATCCTAGGAGCACACATAATGAGTAGTATGATGACAGGCTGAAGACGCCAGCCTACTCCAGAGACCAGTAGCAGGAGACTAAGGGGACGGACACAGCAGCTATTTCAAGGTGGCAAAAGTTTGTTCGTATAGTATCCTAAAACCATGGCCTACAAATCATAGGCAATGCTCCAGTGAATGCGCTTACCAGCAGTCTCCCGTAACTCAGCATTCAAGGTCCAATTGTTCTCACGCAGCTGCAAGTAGGGCTTTCTCGCAACAACGTTGTACCCCAGCTTGACCTTCAGATCTTGATCCTCTGTAAAATTGAACACCTTCTGGCTAAGCTCCACTGAAGCCTTCGGCTTCCCAGACTGGGTGTGAGGCTGGTAATTGTACGCGCCCTTGAGATCAAGACACAGAAGGCCATTATCTGTTAGCTCCCAGGTCTTCTTTCCCTGAATGCTGTAAGTAACTTCTCGCGACTCAACGTCCACTTTAGCACCAACGTCAATGCTTGTCAGAACCTCCGGGAAGAATTTCTTCTTGAGCTGAATCAAGCAGCTAGGCTTGCCTGTCTGCGTGTTCAGCTTCGCATGGACCTGAAGCGCGATGTTGCCGTCACTCACAAAATTCTCCTTTGCGTGCATGACCAAGCTCCTGTCTTCAGCGTTAAGCCGTAGAGAAGTCTCCATGATTTAAAGCCGCTGAACCTGGACTGGAGCGCCTGCGAACGATCCGCAAAAAGAATGCCGGAAAGCCCAGAAGAAAGGCTAGCTATCACTATGATTAAACGCACCAAAATGCTGTATCAAGGAGATGAGAAAAATGCAGCCCTAGAAAAGGTTGCGACTACCCTGACAATCGCGAAAATATTGTTTAAGAGAAAATTGATTAACAATATGAGATCGAGAAGAACCTAAAGTAATCAACAGAAACTCACGGAAATAAGAGAACTTGTTCGAGCGAAGAGCGTCAGCTTCGGCGACTGGTAGATGGCACAACCAGGTACAGCAGCCAATTGCGTGAGAGGAAGCCCTACGAGGATAAGACCAAAAAGCTGATCAGAACGGCTAGGCCAGCTGGTCTGCATGGGATATTGACCATCAGGGGTGGGGGGAAGAAGGTGCTTGCACAGAACGTGCGATGGCAAAATTGTTACAGGCCACACAAATTTCGTGCCTCTGCGGGCGAACTTCTGCTCCGTCGTGAAGTTTCGCCCACACACTTCTCCGAGTTTCGCTTACACGAAGCCTTTCGGAGAGTACGTACCCTCCACCACCTAGGTGAGCAGCTGGAACTCCCCAGGGGAGCCGTCTGACAAGACATTTTCCTTGACCCGCAACACTCCCCAAATCAAGGCTGCTTCTTGCTTCACATCACACCCGCCCCGCAACCACATCCCATATTTCACATGTTGCTGAGGATGAACTTATGGGTGGAATGACTTGGATGCAGTCGAGTGATTATTGTCGTCTTGTACTTCACAAATCACGAAACCTAGCTGCTCCATTGCATTACGTCTGGGTGCGATGCTACGAGCTGCCACTCACCGCCAATCACTCCACACCCCGCCAGCTCTGCTCTCGCCGAGACAGATTCCAACACACGTCTCCGTTTTAGGAACGGTTCCTGCGATTTTACAAAGCCGCAGCTTCTGTCAGGCCCGCAATGGCGGGACGCAGTCTAGAAACAGCCGGGTTAATTCCTCCCACAGAAACAACACTTCGTTAGATGAAAGACAATGCGGTTACACGTGGAGCAAGGAGCCCCTGTTCTCGCGGATATCTGTGACACCGCCAGCACCTGTCTCTCCCCCTTCCCTTTCCGGTATTCACCTGATCGTTCCCAGCATCGTCGCCGCGACTATAGCTGGCGGCGCCACTTTCTCTCTCCTCTCCCTCAACGCGAGCTTGCTCCACGCCCTCTCGTCTCTCATCTCCGTCGCCTGTTATCCCATCGCCAGCCTGCTTCCATCACCGCCACCCTCGCCGTCGCCAACGACCCCTGAAATCGCTCCGTCCGCCACTCCCACTTCCGAGAATGGATCATTCTTTGCGTACACCAAGCAGGTGGGTTCAGTTAGAAGCCAACACATGCAAAACCATCGCGTGCACTGAGACGTCTCAAAACTGCAATGTCCTGTTATACTCGCACGCTAATCAGGGCACCACAATGCATATGGCATCATATTCAACCCACGTCGATCGCATCTGGCTGTGCTTCTCATCTGATCCACCGTCAGGCTGCACCAGCAGCACTGGCGACAATGGCGGTGACCTTCCCCAACGCCATGCAGGAGGACACCTTCATCCATGCGCTCGCCCTCGAACTCGCCAACCTCGGCTTTAAGAGGTACACCCGCACTGTACTCACAAGCTCTCTACTGTCTTTCTCCTGGACTGATCGTGCGACTGGCACAGTGTACTGATTTTGTTTGCTGTGTTGTGCAATACGCCCCTCTCACGCACCTCGCACACGCCAGGGACAACTGCATAGCGCTCGTGAACACGTGTCGAGACGAAGTTTGCCGGCCAATAGTGAAGCTGATAGACCGCGAGTTTGGGCTGTCGTTCAACATCGCGGGGCTGGGAGGGCTCGTCAACTGCGGCACCACGGGGTTCAAGGCCGCCATGTCGCACTTGCCGGAGTTTCCTTGTGAAGTCAATGATGACCAAGTGCGCGAGAGATGTGAGTCACATGAATGCATGATGTTCTACATGCATTCGCTCCAGATGCTTGCTTTCTAGCATGCATTGTACTCAGCTGCAATGCCTTCCACGTTCCTTGACCATGTAGCCACTCTACTTTACCTTCCTCTGCTCACCTCCCTTGCTCTCCTGCCAGACGTCTTCTTTGGCTTTCCACATGTGTCGGTGGGCGAGTCAGGGCAGGTGGGGTCGTTGCTGAGACGAGGCCGGGGCAAGCCGTCCAGTGCGTGCGGGGCATTGATCGCCATCAAGAACGACATATCAAAGGGAGGCCTGGTGGAGGATGACGCTGATGACAAGGAGTATGTGCTGCTCAAAAAGAAGATCGCTGCTCGGGTACGTAAGAGGCAGTATTGATGATGTGTCTTTGTTTGGGACAATGCAATGCATTTTGGGCTGAATCCGTTGAATCAACAGGTGACCCTTGATAGTCTTGGCTGGATTTCTGTTTCACACCCACCCAATCATCCCTGCTTTCGCCGTGGCCTGACACTCCCCACCCCTTCCCTTCCCAGGTGCACTCCTTTGGATCGGATGGTCCATCACTGGTGCGAGTGACCAAGGCGGCACTGGCGGCAATCACGGAGGACATTGAGAGGCTGGTGAAACGCACTGTGAACCCTGAGACTGCAGACTATGCGGTCATCACTGGCGTGCAAATACACTCTGGCTATCAGGTATGGTGGTTGCTGAAACAAAATGCCGTTTCCATCTGTGCTGGTCCCTCTGTTTCAGACATGCCTTCACTATCTTTGTCTGGGTACGCTTTGATGTTGCATGCTTTGATCAGATTCCAGGGGAGCCATTTCAACTGGAGCGCACGTGTGACTACATTGCACCGAGTGCAATGTACGCTGTGGTTCGTGGAACGAAGCATGTTTTGCATTGCGAAGTGGACCAAATCAGAGACATCACGTCATTACCAGCAAGACACATGATTGATTAGACAAAATAGGTATGAGACAGTAAAATCGTGTTTAAATAAGCTCTATCGTTGGTAATTTGTTCTAGTACAAAGTGTAGCCTTCAGGCTGTTATCAACTGTCTTGAGTAAATATCAATGGGCCTTCACGCTTGGTGAGACGCCGAGTCCCGCATTCGCGCTATCCGAGGATGAACCAGAAGAGCTGCTTTGCGCGCATTCTCCGCCAGTGCGCTTTGCTAGCGCATCCAGAAACCGCTGCCCGGCCCCCCTACCCACAGCGCGTGCGAACTTCGCGGCGGAGGAGGCAACGAGGTGCGCGCAGTGATGGTCGGAGGCGAGGCGGTGCTGCAGGCAGTGGTCCTCCGCGCACGACCTGATCAGGTGGTGGCGACGGGAGAGCAAAAACAGGGATTAGTTGCTGGAGATCTAGGGGCATGGATAGGAGCACGATGGCGAGCAATGCAAAGAGAGATCGCACTCTCAACAAAAGCAAAGTGCCTACCTGCACTTTGCGCGATTAGAAGTGGTCAGTCGTTGCCGGCAGCCCCGCACCGGACACTTGGTCCTCCGCTCCGCCGATGCCGCCTGGCAGTCGCTGCTCCCCGCGTGAAGCACGAGGGCTCTCTCGGCGTCTTCGAATCGCGACGTTCTGAAGCTAGAGGAGCATTTGGGGCAGACGGCAACGGTAACGTCCTTGACGTGGACGCCGGGACACTCGTGCGCGCCGTACGACCGGTGGTCCAGACAAAAGGGCTGCGGGATACGGGGGGATGGGCGGAACGGCATCGGGGAGATTAGTGGAAGGCGATCGCGTAAGAGAGCGTGCAGAACGGCTACGCGGGAGAGCAGTTAGAGCAATTCGAAAAAAAATATTTGACACGTAATTGGGGCGTTTCAGGCGGCCGTGGATGGCTCTGTGTCGCTGTAAGTAGCTACCGACCTGATGGCACGCATCGCATTTGAACGGGAGGAAGTCGAGCAGCTGACACGAGGACAGCGAACAATGGCGACCGAGGCTCGGAAACGCCTCAGTCCCTCCAGCAGAGCTCTCAAGTGGCATCTAGTCCGAAAATAGCAGTGGACTGACTGATGGTAAAAATTAGTGGAAGCAAGGGCGCTGGAAACGAGGTGATGGATAGAGGAAGTAGAAAGAAGGGCCTGCTATTACCAACGTGAATAAGGAAGCTGAAGAGATTAGTGCAGGATTGCTGTGTGGACTCGTATATCAGGCGTTTATGCAGCAGTTCCCAGCCCCGGCTGAAACTGAGGTAAAGCATGTCGGTGACAGTGATGCTTGTCGCTCGTCACACGCCACGCCAGCTGCGTGTAAGGGGGGAAAGAGTGCTGCAGCCCAGCGGGAAGTGTGCGCGAGAGGGATTGGGAAGAACATTCGATGCAGCCCGCGCGAAATTGCAAGATGTTTCTCGAAAGCTTTCATAAACAAGCGAGATTGCGGTTGACCAGGGTGTTGTAACAGGCTGTGTGGAATTAAAGCAGCACTAATTGTTATGAGCTGTATGAAAGAAGAGTGCGCAGAATGCAATATCGCGGAAGTGATTACAACTACTGAGCAAACATCGGGGCCTAGGCATAATATAGCAAGGCTAGCTAAGCCCGAGGTCACGAATTCGTGCGAGGGTTGGGTGTAGGTTTGGGTTTGGAAAACCCGAAGGCGACGCGGAGGACGTTCGGGAGGCGAGGTCGTCGGACCGAGCCTGAACTCCGAAAAGTTGGAAATGTACGCGTAAGCGGTGCCTCAGTAAGGAATTAGCAAAATTCCTTACACTACCCCCCCCTTCAAGAAAGGTGGTCAATATCAGGCACGTGTCGGCGAGAAAGATACTGCCGGAGTACCGAGTGCCCTTGTAGTGAGTCAGCCGGGACCCACGTGTCGTCGTCACTTGTGCGATCCACCCATCGCAGTAGAAAATCGACGTGGCGGCCGGCTGGGGTCGCACGAATGCGATGATTCAATATCTTCCAGGGTTGGAGCGTGGGATCTGCTACCGGTCGGACACTTGGCGCCTGGTGGGGTCGAGCGACGTCGGAGGACTGGGGTGCCACGTAGTGGCGAAGTAAACTGACGTGGAAGGCGTCGTGGATATGCCAGTCGTCCGGGAGGAGAAGTTTCGCAGTGACCGGTGTCAGCATTCGAATGATGCGGAAAGGTCCCACGTATCGAGGACGCAGTTTTGCGGGTTGGGGCAGTCTGAGGTTTTTGGTGTCCAGGAGAACCATCTGCCCCTCGCGGAAGGGTAAATTTCGTCGGTGTTGGTCAGCGTAGCGGCCGGCGGTCGAATTCGCTTTTCGGATAAAGTCAGCTGCTTTGGCACGCGCGTCCTGGAGTTCCGAAATAAACTGTTGTGACCTGGGTACCGGGTTGTCGGGAGTTGTCGATGAGGGTACCACCGGGTCTATCCCGTAATTCATGTAGAAGGGTGATTGCTTGGTCGTTGCAGATGGGGCGTTATTGTACGCAAACTCGAGCATGGGAAGGTAATCTTCCCACTTGGTGATGTCCGGGCAGTTCGTGCGAATCAGCTGCTCCATCGTTTGGTTTGTCCTCTCCGTCTGTCCGTCGGTTTGCGGGTGGTAGGACGACGAAAATTGCAGGCGGGTGCCGTACTGTGCCCATGTCTCCTGCCAGAATTTCGACGTGAATTTCGGATCTCGATCGCTGATGATCGCCGAAGGTAACCCGTGGAGGCGTACGACGGTCGAGATGAAGAGTCGCGCTGTTTCTTCGGCTGTGATCGTTGTACGGCAGGGCGCGAAATGCGCCATTTTCGTTAAGCGATCAACGACGACAAGCACGGAGTCGTTGCCACTTGCGCCAGCTGGAAGGCCCGTGACGAAATCCATAGTCACCTGTTGCCACGGTCGTTCGGGTGGCTCGAGGGGCTGCAGTAAGCCAGCTGGTCGTTGTCGTGATGACTTCATTGCCTGGCAGGTCGGGCAGGCGGACACATAGCGCTGCACGTCCGACGCCATGTCGGGCCAGTAGTAGTTCCACTGCAGCAGCTTCAATGTTTTGTCGACGTCGAAATGCCCGGAGAGGTTGGAGTCGTGTACTTCTTGCGTCAGTAATTCGCGTAAGGGTCGGTAGGAAGGTACCCAAACTCGGTTAGTACCGACTTTTAGGTAGTAACTTCCATGCGGTGTAGTGACCCCGCGGTGTTGATTGGTCTTGAAAAATCTGTCGATCCTGTAGCCGTGCTTGAATAATCCTGCCAATAAAGGGTTGGAATGGGCGATTAGTACTGCTGCGGTCTGCATGGATGGGAGGTCAGAGCGTCGGCGATGTTGTTGGCGCCCTTTTTATATGTGATGGTGTAGCGGAAATTTGATTCGAGGTAGTCGAGCCACCGGATTTGTCGTGGGTTGAGCTGTGGTTGGCTGCGCATGTACTGTAGTGACTTGTGGTCAGTTCGGATTGTGACATCCGCTCCCGTGAGGTAGCATCGCCATGTTCGAAACGCCTGCACGATGGCGAGCATTTCCTTGTCGTGAACCGGGTAGTTGCGCTCGGGCGGCTGCATTTTTCTTGACTCGTACGCGATGGGTTGCAGTCCGTTGCCGAAGTCCTGTAAAAGCACAGCGCCGACAGCGAAATCGCTGGCGTCCGTCACGACTTCGAACGGTCGAGATGGATCTGCCAGTCGAAGCACCGGGGGTGAACTCAAAATTTTCTTCAGCTCGTTGAAAGCCAGCTGTTCTCTCTCCCTCCAAAAAAACTGTACGCCCTTATGCAGGAGATCGGTTAACGGCCTGGTTACCCCCGCCATATTGGGTACAAAACGGCGGACGTAGTTAACGAAGCCGAGGAAACTCTGCAACTCAGTGATGTTCGTGGGCGGCTTCCACTCCAAAATCGCTTTTACTTTTTGAGGGTCGATTTTAATGCCTTCCCCAAAGACAACGTGCCCGAGAAACTCCAGCTCCGACCGTAAGAACTCGCACTTAGAGCCCTTCGTAATCAGCCGGTTCTGCTGCAAGCGTCGGAACACTTCGTCTAAGTCCTGTAAATGCTGCTCCTGAGTCTTGCTGTACACCAGGATGTCGTCCAGGTAAACAATAACTTTTTTATCCAACATGTCCCGAAACACTCCATTCATAGTGAGCTGGAAAGTCGAGGGTGCGTTCGTCAGCCCGAACGGCATCACGGTGTACTCATAACTGCCGTAGCGGGTGCGGAATGCGGTCTTCGGGCAGTCGTCGGCGAACACACGAATTTGATGGTAGCCACCTCGCAAATCGATTTTCGAGAAGAAACGAGCCCCGCGAAGTTGATCCAGCAGGTCGTCTGCTCGTGGGATCGGGTAACGCGACTTGATTGTGACCCGATTCAACGCTCGATAGTCGATGCACATGCGCAGGCCTCCGTCCTTTTTCGGTGTGAATAGTATCGGGGCGGCGTACTGTCAGAACATATATACAGTTCATACTGTTGTGTAGGCTGTAGTGGGGTATCCTATAGGGGGTACAACCCAGTTAGGGTTTGCTACTTGTACTGATTTCATTTTCATAGTCATCATTCCTGTTTTCTTATTTCACATGGTATAGAGCGGGTCCTGCCTTAGGACCGTTTTCTGGGCCCACCAACGCGCGCCCCGAGGCGCGCCCATTTTTTTTTAGCGACCCCTCGGGTCGCCTTTTCACTCGCGGCCCGCCGCCTCCCCTAACGCGGCTTTGCCGCCTCCCCTGACGCGGCCCAGCCGCCTCCCTTGACGCGGCCCCGCCGCCTCTCTTAACGCGGCCCCGCCGCCTCCCTTGACGCGGCCCCGCCGCCTCCCTTGACGCGGCCTCGCCGCCTCCCCTGACGCGGCCCCGCCGCCTCCCCTGACGCGGCCCTGCCGCCTCCCTTGACGCGGTTCCGCCGCCTCCCCTGACGCGGCCCCGCCGCCTCCCTTGACGCGGCCCCGCCGCCTCCCCTGACGCGGCCCCGCCTCTACTGCCGACGGCCCCGCCGCTGCACTCTACGGCCCGCCGCTGCACCCTGCCGGCCCGCCGCTGCTCCTGCCGGCCCGCCGCTGCACTCTACGGCCCGCCGCTGCACCCTACCGGCCCGCAGCTGCTCCTGCCGGCCCGCCGCTGCACCTGCCGGCCCGCCGCTGCACCTGCCGGCCCGACGCTGCACCTGCCGGCCCGACGCTGCACCTGCCGGCCCGAGCCGCCCCAGCAGCCGAGCCGCCCGGGACCCGAGCCGCCCTGCCGCCGAGCCGCCCGGGAGCCGAGCCGCCCTGCACCCGAGCCGCCCAGCCGCCGAGCCGCCCGGGAGCCGAGCCGCCCTGCGCCCGAGCCGCCCAGCCGCCGAGCCGCCCGGGAGCCGAGCAGCTGTGCACCCGAGCCGCCCGGTCACTGAGCCGCCTTTCTGCTGCCTGCACGACCTGCCCTGCCTGGTGAGCACAGTCCCACTGACACTGCGAGCTCTTTCCCTACCGCTTGCACTGCGTCACTGTCGTCACCATGGCTACCCCTAGTGTCCTAGCTTTGACGCTGAGGGTCGCGCCATTGATTTTGAGGTCTGGTTAGATGACCTGCAGCTGTTCTTACAGTGCGACAGGGCTGACGACCTTTCTCTCTTTGACCTCACCTCTGGCGCCTCTCCTGCTCCTGCTGCTGATGCTGAACCCGCTGTCCGCTCTAAGTGGGCCACCCGCGATGCTGCTGCACGTCTTGCTGTGCGTCGCCACCTCCCTACCTCTGAGCGTGCGCACTTTAGTCAGTACAAGAGTGCTCAGACCTTGTACGACGCTGTAGTTGCGCGCTACTCCTCCCCTGCCACTGCTGCACTGAGCCGTCTCATGCTTCCCTACCTCTTTCCTGACCTCTCTGCCTTTCCCACTGTCGCTGACCTCATTACGCACCTCCGCACTAGTGACACTCGCTACCGCGCCGCCCTTCCTGCTGAGTTCTGCGCTAAGAACTCCCCCCCCATGTACATCGCTCTCTACTACGTAGTCGTGCGCCTCCCTGACTCCCTTCGCGTCGTCAGGGACCACTTTCTCGCAGTCTGTCCCACCACTCTCACCGTCGACCTCCTCGAGAAGGCCCTCCTTGCAGCGGAGAAGAGCATAGTCGCTGTAGGTGCTTCTCGTGGTGACCCTCGCACCCCCATCTTTGAGGGGTGCTCTCCTTCCCCCTTGCTCCCCTCTGTTGCCTCTGCTGCTGCTGCCGACCTGCTTGGTCTTGAGTCGGTCGGCGCGGCGTCTGCCCCTAGTGGGAGACGTCGCTCCAGCAAGGGCAAGGGAGGCAAGGGCGCGGGTGGAGCTGGGGGGGGCGGTGGCGGTGGCGGCGGTGGAGGCGGAGGGAGTGGGGGTGGCGGCGGGACTAGTGGCGGGGGTGGTGGTGGGGGTGGTGGCAGCAGCGGCGGAGACGGTGGTGGTGGTGCCAGCGGTGGTGGTGGAGGCAGCGGCGGAGGTGGAGGCGGCGGAGGTGGAGGCGGTGGAGGCGGCAGCGGAGGAGGCAGTAGTGGTGGAGGAGGTGGAGCTGGTCGGGGTGGTACCCAGCAGCGTAGCGGCAGTGGTGGTGGCCAGCGCTCGCACCGGCAGCAGCAGCAGCGCTCGCGGGACATCCCTTCGCCTCAGCAGCTTCGTGAGTGGTACGCTGGGCGTCAGAGGGGTGGGGGTACTGGTCCCTGCACCTACGTTCTTCGTTCCGGCGACCGCGCGGGTGAGCAGTGTGGGGGTGCCCACGCCACCCAGCGCTGCTTTGGCCGCCTCACGGACGCTTGGCGTCAGCAGTTCCCTGGGGCTAGTGAGATCCCTCGCTGGGATGAGCTTCTCAGGGCTGGTGTAGCGATCTTTGATCTTGATTTTGATGCTATCCTTACTGCCATGTATGTTGTGGATTATAGTGAGGAGAATGAGGGTTACCGCTGTTTCCAGGCCGACCCGGGCATTGGTACTGCTGCGCTAGGTGCTTGTGAGGCTGCTGCTCTAGGTGCCAGTGCGTCTGCGCTCTCAGGTACTGGTGAGACTGCGCTCTCAGGTGCTGAGTCGTCCTCGTCCTCCCTCACTTTCACACTTGACTCCGGAGCTTCTCGCTCCTTCTTTCGAGACCGCACTACCCTTTCGCCGCTCGACAGGCCGGTTGCGGTCTCCCTTGCTGATCCCTCTGGGGGTCCTGTCCTGTCTCACTTCTCCACTGTCCTCCCGTGTCCGGCTGCCCCTTCGGGCACCCTGTCGGGTCTGTACCTTCCCTCGTTCTCTACGAACTTGGTGAGTGGAGCAGACCTGCAGGATGGGGGTGTTCACCAGTTCACTCCTGCGCGTCAGCGGGTGACCCACTGCACGGAGGCTCGCACAGGCCGACACCTGGCCACGTTCTCGCGTCGGCCGGGGTCGAGTCTCTACACCCTGACCGTTGAGTCTCCTCCTGTCCCTGCGTCTGGTCAGGTGGCTGCGTCGGGTCAGGTACTTGCTGCTGCGTCCCGGTCAGGTCTTGAGTCTGCCCCCTGTTCTTGTCGCCTCCTGTCTCACGAGACTCTCCTGTGGCACCACCGTCTTTGCCACCCCTCCTTGCCCCGTCTTCGGAGCATGGCTTCCCGTGTCCTTGTCTCTGGTCTTCCCCAGTCTCTCCCTCCTCTCCCCTCAGGGCCAGGACCTTCCTGTGTCCCCTGTGTCGAGGGTCGCCTCCGGGCTACTCCTCACTCCTCCCACTTCCCCCCGACAGAGGCTCCCCTGCAGACGCTTCACATGGATGTGTGGGGCCCAGCCCCCGTCCGTGGGCAGGGTTACGAGCGCTACTTCCTGTTGGTGGTTGACGACTACTCGCGTTACACCACAGTCCTCCCCTTGCGCAGCAAGGGTGCGGTCACTGAGGTGCTGATCGACTGGATCCGCGAGGCTCGTCTCCAGCTCAGGAAGAGCTTCGGCTCGGACTTTCCTGTTCTGCGTCTGCACTCTGACAGAGGCGGAGAGTTCTCTTCTCGCCTTCTGCGAGACTACTGTCGTGCACGGGGGATCCGCCAGACCTTCACGCTTCCGGACTCACCACAGCAAAATGGGATTGCTGAGCGCCGCATTGGCATGGTCATGGATGTCGCTCGTACGTCCATGATGCATGCGGCTGCCCCCCATTTTCTGTGGCCGTTTGCGGTGAGGTACGCGGCGCATCAGCTCAACCTTCACCCCCGGGTCTCTCGGCCTGCGATGTCCCCAGCCTTGCTGTGGACGGGGAAGGTTGGCGATGCGTCTGTGTTCCGTGTCTGGGGATCTCGGGCGTTTGTACGCGACTTGTCTGCGGACAAGCTGTCCCCCCGTGCTGCTCCCTGTGTCTTCCTTGGCTTCCCCACTGACGCCCCAGGGTGGCAGTTTTACCACCCCTCCTCTCGTCGTGTTCTGTCCTCCCAGGACGTCACGTTCGACGAGTCAGTCCCCTTCTACCGTCTCTTCCCCTACCGCACTCCTTCCCTCCCCCCTCCCCCGGACTTCCTTGTGCCGGTTCCCCCCCCGGTAGACCCCCTCCCCCCTCAGGTTCCTGCCCCCTCAGGTGTGTCCCAGGTAGACGCCGTTGACCCGGTCGAGGTTACTGGTGACTCTGGTGCTGCTGCGGGTGCTGAGCCTGGGGGTGCTGACTCTGGGGGTACTGTGCGCGGGGGTGCTGGGCCTGGGGGTGCTACTGCGGTGGGGGCGGAGCCTGGGGGTGCTGAGCCGGGGGGTGCTGTGACTGGAGGTGCTGAGTCTGGGGGTGCTGAGTCGGGAGCTGCTGAGCCTGGGGGTACTGAGCTGGGAGCTGCTGAGCCTGGGGGTGCTGCGCCTAGAGCTGCCGAGCCTGGAGTTTCTCCTGCTGCTGCGTCTCGCCGGGAGCCCCTCTCTCCACCGGAGCTGCGCGAGTGGTTCGCTCGCCGCTGGAGGCGTGCTGCTGAGTCTAGAGGTGCCGCTGGAGCTGGAGCTGGAGCTTCTTCGACCGTCGAGGGTGCGGGTGCTGCCGGTCCCGGAGCTGCTGGACCTGCGGGTCCTCCTGGAGCTGGAGCTGCTGAGGGCGTTCGTGCTGAGCCTGCTGCTGTTGGTCCTGCCGCTGGAGGTGTGGGTGGCGCTGGTGCTGTCGCTGAGGGTGCTGGTGCTGTCCCTGTTGAGTCTGGAGCTGCCGCGCGGCCTCGGCCGTACTTCGTTCAGCTCCTGCAGCAGTTTCTTGGTCTTTCTCCTCCAGTAGAGGGTCCACCGCCTGTCCACTCGCAGTCCCTACTGGAGCCTTCCTCTCCACTGCCTGCTCCCTCTCCTTACACTGGTCCTACCGGAGGTCTTGCTGAGCGTCGTGAGCCTGCGTCTTGTCCCGCGTCGCCTGTTCGTGCTGCTCGCGCTAGTGGTCGCGGTTCGCGTCAGCGTCCTCCTCCTGTCCCTGGCACGCACAGGATGTCTCTGCGTCCGTCCACTGCTCCTCTGCGTGCCCCTTTGCCTTCTCCTCCTGAGTCCTCTCTTCCTGCGCTTGCTGACCCTGAGTCGGACTCTCTTCGCGCTGCGAGTCCTACTGTCACGCGTCTGCTTGCTACTGTCGTCACTGACCCCTCTTTTGAGTCCACTGCTGCGTCTGCTCTGGTCGCTGAGCTCGTCGACTTTGCTACTCGTTGTCGTCTTGACTACGCTGCTAGTCTTGTTGCTGAGTCTGTGTCTGTCTGTCCTCCGTCCGTCGGGGGTGAGTGTGCTCTTGGCACGGACGTCCTAGAGGACAGGCAGGAGGAGTTACAGTGTCTAGCGGCTGCTTCACCTCATCTCGCGTCTGTACTGCTTGCCCCTGAGGGAGACCCGGATGCACTAGACATCCCGACTCCGCGTTCTTACGCGGAGGCCGTAGAGGGTCCCTACTCCTCTCAGTGGCAGGCAGCTATGGATGCAGAGATGGCTTCCTGGAAGTCCACAGGCACCTACGTTGACGCAGTTCCCCCTCCAGGGGCGAACATCGTCAGTGGCATGTGGATCTTCAGGGTGAAGCGGCCGCCGGGCTCTCCACCTGTCTTCAAGGCACGGTACGTTGCTCGTGGCTTCAGTCAGCGGCAGGGAGTTGACTACTTTCAGACCTTCTCTCCCACCCCGAAGATGACCACTCTTCGGGTGCTGCTGCACATAGCCGCTCAGCGCGACTACGAGCTTCACTCTCTCGACTTCAGCACTGCGTTCCTGCAGGGTAGCCTGCACGAGGAGATCTGGCTGCGCCGTCCGCCTGGCTTCACTGGGACTTTCCCTCCTGGCACCCAGTGGAGCCTCCGACGGCCAGTCTACGGTCTCCGCCGGGCACCGCGTGAGTGGCACGACACACTGAGGACTACGCTTGCGGCTCTTGGGTTTGCTCCTTCTACTGCTGACCCGTCGCTGTTTCTTCGCACCGACGCTTCCCTGCCGCCGTTCTACATCCTCGTGTACGTCGACGACTTGGTCTTTGCCACAGCGGACACTGCTGGACTCGCCTACGTGAAGTCCGAGCTGCTGAAGAGACACACGTGCACAGACCTGGGTGAACTGCGCAGCTACCTTGGCTTGCAGATCACTCGGGACAGAGCACGCCGCACCATCACCTTGACTCAGTCACACATGGTGCAGCAGGTCCTTCAGCGCTTCGGCTTCACGTACTCCTCGCCTCAGGCCACTCCTCTGCCTACTCGCCACTCACTCTCAGCTCTGCCTTCGGATGAGTCCGTAGAGTCGAGTGGTCCGTATGCAGAGCTTGTTGGCTGCCTCATGTACCTGATGACCTGCACACGACCTGACCTCGCATACCCTCTGAGCATCCTTGCACGCTATGTTGCTCCTGGGAGACACCGACCAGAGCACATGGCTGCAGCGAAGAGGGTATTGCGCTACCTGTGCAGTACGTCGGGCATGGGGCTAGTGCTTGGAGGGCGCAGTCCAGTGGTCCTTACAGGCCACGCGGACGCTTCTTGGGCTGACGACCAGGCTACGCAGCGGTCGTCACGGGGTTACACCTTCAGCCTTGGTTCCGGCTCTGTCTCGTGGCGGTCTACTCGCTCGTCTTCGGTTCTCGGCTCCAGTTGTGAGGCTGAGATCTACGCCGGGGCCATGGCTGCACAGGAGCTTCGCTGGCTCACCTACCTGCTGACTGACCTTAGAGAGCCGCCTCGTTCTCCTCCAGTGCTGTACGTAGACAACAAGGCCATGCTGGCCTTGTGTCGAGAGCAGCGCTTGGAGCACAGAACGAAACACATTGCTCTCCGCTACTTCCTTGCTCGTGAGCTGCAGCAGCGTGGTCAGTTGCGACTTGCGTACGTGGCCTCTGAGGCCAACACTGCTGATGTGTTCACCAAGGCACTTGCGCCTTGTGACCATCAGCGCTTTTGTACCCAGCTGGGTCTTGTGCCTGTCTTGCCTCACTTGCTCTCTTCTTGACTTTACTTGTACTGTGACATATATACACCTGCTCTTGCTTGTTTTGCTTTATATATATGTCTGTACTCTTGCATGTGAACTGGCCTTTGGCCTTGCTCTTGTGCTCGGACTGTGTGGTGACTTTGTGATCCACCCTGAGCTTTGTTTTGCTTTGCTTGACTGGTCTTGTGACCCCTAGTTCTCCCCCACTTTGCCTATGGGGGTGTGTCAGAACATATATACAGTTCATACTGTTGTGTAGGCTGTAGTGGGGTATCCTATAGGGGGTACAACCCAGTTAGGGTTTGCTACTTGTACTGATTTCATTTTCATAGTCATCATTCCTGTTTTCTTATTTCACACGTACGGCGACGTGCTCGGCCGGATAAAACCCTTAGAAAGCAGATAATCCAGCTGTTTCTGCAATTCGTCGAGCTCCGGTTGGCTGAGCCGCCATTGGGACCGAACGGTTGGTTTCGCGCCTGGTTCCAGCTCAATCCTGTGGTCTTCCGGACGCTGAGGTGGCAGCCCATCAGGTAGGTCATCTGCGAATATTTCGGGGTATCTCTGAATTATGCTCGCCACGTCGTCGGGTACAGCAGCGCAGAGCGTGTCGATGTCGGCGATTTTTCGGAAGCCACCACCTCGTACAGCTGTACGGCGTAGCCTTGCGTTCCCCGTTTTATCGCCCTCTTCAGCGTTATCGCGTTGACACGTGTTGTCGTCGGCTCCGGCTCCGCCCATTTCAGAAGTGTCACGCGCCCCTTGTTGCACAGCACCGTGATCGCTCCCGTCGTCCAGTCGATGGTCGGATTGAAACGCTGCAGCCAATCCCTTCCGAGCAGCACATCGCAACCGTCCAGTGTTGTCGCCAGCATTCGCATGGAGAACCCGAAATCGACGCCACACTTCATCCGAATTTGTCGGACCTCGTCCTTGATCGCCAGCGGTGTTCCGTCCACCAATCGCGCATCAATCTCTGGTAGACACCTGTCCAGCTTGACTCCGATTTTTTTGGCCGTCGCCAGGTTGACGAGACTGTGGCTCGCCCCACCGTCGACGAATAATTTTATTTTATGCCCGTTAACCCTCCCCACGACCAGCACAGGGTGATCCACGTGTTCATCCACCTTATTCGTCCGGTTGCGGTCGATAGCCCGTATCGGTACCACTACTCGGTGTGGATGTTGATTGCCGGGCGACGGGGTCTCGTCAGTAGGTGGCCCGACTGCTACTGACTCGTTTCTTTTCCCGACCCCTCTCCGTCGTTCCTGTTTCCCTGTTTCAGCTTCGGGCAGTCCTTCTTCCAGTGGCCCGGTTGGTTGCAGTTGAAGCAGTTGTTGTTTCCCCGCCTCGGTGCATCCACCCCGTTGATTGTGGGCTGGCGCGGCGGTCCACGAAATTGAGTGCCCTCCCGGGAACTCATTCTCGCCCATTGCATCAGCGCATCCGTCGATTCGGCCACTTGGACGGCTTCGATAAATACGCGTGACCTCGCCCGTCGCACCTCGTACTGTACGTCGTACTTGAGGCCTGCGACGTATCGGTCGAGTCGTTCCGCGTCGCTCATATCGTCCACTTGGTCAGCCAAATTGCAGAATGTCGCCGTGTAATCTTGGACCGACGCCACCTGCTTCCAGGTACGCAGCTTCATGCGAGCAGAATCCAAGGCGGATACATGCTCGAATCTGCTTCGCAGCGCGGCGCCCCACTCCGTCCATGTGCGTATCGTGGCCACTCCGAAGATTGAAGTTGCCTGTTGCGTGACAGCTGCCCAGGTCCCATCGTTCGCACGTGATATCCCTGCCGGAGCCCCCTCTGGCTGAAGAGTCCGCTTCCACCATTCCAACGCCGGTCCTCGCAATAGTGACACTGCAAAATTAATGCGGGTAGCATCGTCAGCAATTTGCGCAGCATTGAAAAACACCTCTACACCGAACAACTAAGCTGACACAGTGACGGCTTTGTCGCTGGGGTTGAACGTGTGAAGAAACGTTCTTAGTAGGAAGGCATAGAAGCCATAGTGAGTTCAGTAGTAGAGATCGAGCTCGAGTGAGTAGGGTTAGGAGAGTCGAGAAAGTTTCAACAAAGAGGGGTTTCACTATAGAGCGAGCAGTACAAATAGGCAAGATGAAAGGTGTACCACCACAACAGAACATTATATAACTACAGTAGTCTACACTACAGGCAGTTACAAAACAATATATAGGTTTACATATTATTCTGACACGCCCCCATAAGTGCCTGTAGGGAAGAATATGCAGTCAACGCCCCCATAATGGGGTACACCAAATAGGCCGCAGCGGAAATCATAGCAACAGGCAAGTGAAGTGACAACAGGTGCAGTGATGGCAGATCCAGCTGTACGAACCCCTTTACCAAGGTAAAAACAGTAGGAGGTGGTGGGGCGGCAGGTCGCCTGAGGAGCAGGCTCTGTGGCTGCAACATGCAGCAGGACAGCAGCGGCTCGACGGCAGCACCTGCAGGCCCCAGCACAAGGTAGCAAAAAACAGAGACAACAAAAAAAAGGTAGGTGGTAGAAGGGGCGGCAGCTGGAGGTGCCACGGCAGCAGCTGGCGTCAGCAGCAGATGACCGGCTGACTTCCGTCGCCCCCTCACTCCCCCCCCCACAGCGGCACGTGCGGCAGTGAGAGAGAGAGGAGGGGCGGCAGCTTCTTGCTCACACCCGCCTCCCCAAAGCCTCCCCCCCACACTGTTGCACGTGCAGTAGCGAACAGAGGGGCGTCAACCACCCTCGCGCCTCCCCCTCCCCCCCCTCCACACCGTCGTCCACAGTGGAAGAAAACGGCAGCGGGCTCGGGTGGGGTTGGTGAGCTGTCGGGTAGGAAGGGGGAGTAACGGATGGGTGCAACAAGTGCCGCAACGAGTGCTGCGCACAGCTCGTCGTCGCTTGCGAGGCAGCTGCAGCGGTAGCAGCCGCATTGTCGACGGGAGGGTGGGGCAGGGGGTGCGATCGGCGGCTGAAGTAACTCGGCCGCCACACCCGCCGTCTCCCCCCAAAGCGACCGTCGATGCACACGTTCGGGGCTGCGACCGGGCGTGACGAGGTTGCAGGAGGGCGCGATGGGTAGACGACGGGGCCGCCGACTGGGGCCGCGACGAACAGACCTAGACCCGCCACGCGCGACGTCACGACTAGCGGCTGAACGGGTGCTTGGGAGGCCGCGACGAGCGCCATGGCAGGAACGAGAAGTGGTGGGCCCATGGGAAAAAAAATCAGGTCCTAGGATAGGAACCTCACTCTGGTAACATGTGAAGAAACGTTCTTAGTAGGAAGGCATAGAAGCCATAGTGAGTTCAGTAGTAGAGATCGAGCTCGAGTGAGTAGGGTTAGGAGAGTCGAGAAAGTTTCAACAAAGAGGGGTTTCACTATAGAGCGAGCAGTACAAATAGGCAAGATGAAAGGTGTACCACCACAACAGAACATTATATAACTACAGTAGTCTACACTACAAGCAGTTACAAAACAATATATAGGTTTATATATTATTCTGACAGAACGGGGGCGGGTTCGTCGGTTTTATTTTAACAGTTGTTGAGACTGTTGCTGCTGCATGCATCGGGGGCGCCATTGAAGCCATCACCGGGGTTGTCGCTGGTGCCTGTCGTGGCATCGTCTGCGACTGTTGCCTCGGCTGTAACTGTTGCTCCTGCATCCCTTGTGCTCGTTGCGTTCCTGCTGTCCGCTCAACTTCAGCGTCCAGCGAGTTCTGTAGCTCGCTGAGGACCTGGTCGTTAGGCACGAAACTGCTTCCTGCTTCATCCACGGCGGGCGACTCCTGACGCGCTTCACCTCGCGTCTGGCGTAGCTCGGCGTTTTCCTCCCTCAGGCGCTCCAACTCGCCAGACATAGTCTGCATGTTGGCCTGCAGCGCCCGAAACTGTTGCATGAGCTCGTTTAACTCCGCCTGGTCCATGTGTCGCAGGCTTCGTCCAAAGGGCAGGGGGTTAACAACGATTTTTCTGGTTTTGATGAAGGCGCAAACGCTATTAGTCGGAGCGAGATAATCGTATCTATCTCTCAGCCGACCGCTTTGCAGCCCACCAAACCTATCGCACCCCCGTACTAAACTACCCCGAAAAGTGGAGGGTAACCTAGGAAAGTAGCTCTGATACCAGGTGTTATGAGTTGTATGAAAGAAGAGTGCGCAAAATGTCAGATTATTATAGCTGATGCATGTTTGTAGGCTATAGTGGGGTAGCACATATGGGGTACAGCTTTCTAGGGTTGTATTTGTACCCAACTCTAACTTAGTCATTTCATTCCTGGTCATTTATTTCACATGGTATAGAGCGAGTTCCCTGTAAGAACGTTGCCTAGGGCCCACCGAAGCGCGCCCCGAGGCGCGCACCTTTTTTTTTTAGCGACCCCTCGAGTCGCCCTTTCCCTCGTGGCCCCGCCGTCCCTCAGACGCGGCCCCGCCACCCCTTCTGATGGCGGCCCCGCCACCCGATCGTGGCCCCGCCGCCACGTCGCGGCCCCGCCGCCCGATCGCGGCCCCGCCGCCAGCTACGAAGCGGCCCCGCCACCTGCTTGACGCGGCCCTGCCGCCTGCTCTGACGCGGCCCTGCCGCCTACTCTAACGCGGCCCCGCCGCCCGCTACGACGCGACCCCGCCGCCTGCTCTGACGCGGCCCCGCCGCCACCTCTTACGCGGCCCCGCCGCCACCTCTGACGCGGCCCCGCTGCCTGATCTGACGCGGCCCCGCCGCCACCTCTGACGCGGCCCCGCCGCCTGATCTGACGCGGCCCCGCCGCCGCCTCTGACGCGGCCCCGCCGCCTGCTCTGACGCGGCCTCGCCGCCCGCTACTACGCGGCCCAGCCGCCGACTACGACGCGGCCCCGCCGCCCGCTATGCCGCCGGCCCCGCCGCCTGCTCAGCCGCAACTCCACCACCCTCTCTGCCGGCCCCGCCGCTCCACCAGCCGCGGCCCCGCCGTCCCCGCCGCTGCACCTGCCGGCCCTGCTACTTCGGCCCCGCTGCCCCTGATCTCGCGGCTCCGCCACCCTACCTGCAGCAGCCAAGCCGCCCACCTGCAGCAGCCGAGCAGCAGTGCAGCCGAGCCGCCCCGCACCCGAGCCGCCCTGCCGCCGAGCCGCCCGGGAGCCGAGCCGCCCTACACCCGAGCCGCCCTGCCGCCGAGCCGCCCGGGAGCCGAGCCGCCTTGCACCAGAGCCGCCCTGCCGCCGAGCCGCCCGGGAGCCGAGCCGCCCAGCAGCCGAGTCGCTGAGTCGCCGAGCCGCCCTTCTGCAGAGTTGCCCGGCCTGCCCTGCCTGGTGAGCACAGTCCCACTGTCACTGCGTGCTCTTCCCCTACTGCTTGCACTGCTTTGCTGTCATCGTCATGGCTACCCCTAGTGTCCTAGCTTTTGACGCTGAGGGTCGCGCCATTGACTTTGAGGTCTGGGTAGACGACCTGCAGTTGTTTTTACAGTGCGATAGGGCAGACAGCCTCTCTCTCTTTGACCTTACCTCTGGCGCCTCTCCTGCTCCAGCTGCTGATGCTGATCCCACTGTGCGCTCTCAGTGGGCCACCCACGATGCTTCTGCACGTCTTGCTGTGCGTCGCCACCTCCCTACCTCTGAGAACGCGCACTTTAGTCAGTACAAGAGTGCTCAGACCTTGTACGACGCTGTAGTTGCGCGCTACTCCTCCCCTGCCACTGCTGCACTGAGCCGTCTCATGCTTCCCTACCTCTTTCCTGACCTCTCTGCCTTTCCCACTGACGCTAACCTCATTACGCACCTCCGCACTAGTGACACTCGCTACCGCGCCGCCCTTCCTGCTGAGTTCTGCGCTAAGAACCCCCCCCCCATGTACATCGCTCTCTACTACGTAGTCGCGCGCCTCCCTGACTCCCTTCGCGTCGTCAGGGACCACTTTCTCGCAGTCTGTCCCACCACCCTCACCGTCAACCTCCTCGAGAAGGCCCTCCTCGCAGCGGAGAAGAGCATAGTCGCTGTAGGTGCTTCTCGTGGAGACCCTCGCACCCCCATCTTTGAGGGGTGCTCTCCTTCCCCCTTGCTGCCCTCTGTTGCCTCTGCTGCTGCTGCCGACCTGCTTGGTCTTGAGTCGGTCGGCGCGGCGTCTGCCCCTAGTGGGAGACGTTGCTCTGGCAAGGGCAAGGGGGGCAAGGGCGCGGGTGGAGCTGGAGGGGGCGGTGGCGGTGGCGGCGGAGGCGGCGGAGGGAGTGGGGGTGGCGGCGGGAGTAGTGGCGGGGGTGGTGGTGGTGGTGGCAGCAGCGGCGGAGGCGGCGGTGGTGGTGGCAGCGGTGGTGGTGGTGGCAGCGGCGGAGGTGGAGGCGGCGGAGGAGGCAGCGGAGGAGGCGGTGGTGGTGGAGGGGGTGGAGCTGGTCGGGGTGGTACCCAGCAGCGGAGCGGCGGTGGTGGTGGCCAGCGCTCGCAGCAACAGCAGCAGCAGCGTTCGCGTGACATCCCTCCGCCTCAGCAGCTTCGTGAGTGGTACACTCAGCGTCAGAGGGGTGGGGGTACTGGTCCTTGCACCTACGTCCTTCGTTCCTGCGACCGCGCGGGTGAGCAGTGTGGGGGTGCCCACCCCACCCAGCGCTGCTTTGGCCGCTTGACGGACGCTTGGCGTCAGCAGTTCCCCGGGGCTAGTGAGATCCCTCGCTAGGATGAGCTTCTTAGGGCTGGTGTAGCGATCTTTGATCTTGATTTTGATGCTAACCTTGCTGCTATGTATGCTGTGACTATTAGTGAGGAGACTGAGGGTTACCGGTGTTTCCAGCCCGACCCAGGCATTGGTACTGCTGCGCTAGGTGCTTGTGAGGCTGCTGCTCTAGGTGCCAGTGCGTCTGCGCTCTCAGGTACTGGTGAGATTGCGCTCTCAGGTACTACGTCGCCCTCGTCCTCCCTTACTTTCACACTTGACTCTGGGGCTTCTCGCTCCTTCTTTCGAGACCGCACCACCCTTACGCTGCTTGGCCGGCCGGTTGCCGTCTCCCTGGCTGACCCCTCTGGGGGTCCTGTCCTCTCTCACTTCTCCACTCTCCTCCCGTGTCCGGCTGCCCCTTCGGGCACCCTGTCTGGTTTGTACCTTCCCTCGTTCTCTACGAACTTGGTGAGTGGCGCGGACCTGCAGGATGTGGGGGTTCACCGGTTCACTTCTGCGAGTCAGCGGGTGACCCACTGCACGGAGGCACGCACAGGCCGACACCTGGCCACGTTCTCGCGTCGGCCGGGGTCGAGTCTCTACACCCTGACCGTTGAGTCTCCTCCTGTCCCTGCGTCTGGTCAGGTGGCTGTGTCAGGTCAGGTGCTTGCTGCTGCGTCCCGGTCAGGTCCTGAGTCTGCCCCCTGTTCTTGTCGCCTCCTGTCTCACGAGACTCTCCTGTGGCACCACCGTCTTGGCCACCCCTCCTTGCCCTTGTCTTCGGAGCATGGCTTCCCGTGTCCTTCTCTCTGGTCTTCCCCAGTCTCTCCCTCCCCTTCCCTCCGGGCCAGGACCTTCCTGTGTCCCCTGTGTTGAGGGTCGCCTCCGGGCTGCTCCTCACTCCTCCCAGTTCCCCCCGACAGAGGCTCCTCTGCAGACGCTTCACATGAACGTGTGGGGCCCAGCCCCCGTCCGTAGGCAGGGTCACGAGCGCTACTTTCTGTTGGTGGTTGACGACTACTCGCGTTACACCACAGTCCTCCCCTTGCGCAGCAAGGGTGATGTCACTGAGGTGCTGATCGACTGGATCCGCGAGGCTCGTCTCCAGCTCAGAAAGAGCTTCGGCTCGGACTTTCCTGTTTTGCGTCTGCACTCGGACAGAGGCGGAGAGTTCTCCTCGCGCCTTCTGCGAGACTACTGTCGTGCACGGGAGATCCGCCAGACCTTCACGCTTCCGGACTCTCCACAGCAAAATGGGATTGCTGAGCGCCGCATTGGCATGGTCATGGATGTCGCTTGTACGTCCATGATGCATGCGGCTGCTCCCCATTTTCTGTGGCCGTTTGCGGTGAGGTACGCGGCGCATCAGCTCAACCTTCACCCCAGGGTCTCTCGGCCCGCGATGTCCCCAGTCTTGCTGTGGACGGGGAAGGTTGGCGATGCGTCGGCGTTCCGTGTCTGGGGATCTCGGGCGTTTGTCCGCGACTTGTCTGCGGACAAGCTGTCCCCTCGTGCTGCTCCCTGTGTCTTCCTTGGCTTCCCCACTGATGCTCCAGAGTGGCAGTTTTACCACCCCTCCTCTCGTCGTGTTCTGTCCTCCCAGGACGTCACGTTCGACGAGTCAGTCCTCTTCTACCGCCTCTTGCCCTACCGCACTCCTTCCCTCCCCCCTCCGCCGGACTTCCTTGTGCCGGTTCCCCCCCCGGTAGACCCCCTCCCCCCTCAGGTTCCTGCCCCCTCAGGTGTGTCCCAGGTAGACGCAGTTGACCCGGTCGAGGTTACTGGTGACTCTGGTGCTGCTGCGGGTGCTTGGCCTGGGGGTGCTGACTCTGGGGGTGCTGTGCGCGGGGGTGCCGGGCGTGGAGGTGCTGCTACTGGGGGTGCTGAGCCTGGGGGTGCTGGGCCTAGGGGTACTACTGCGGAGGGTGCTGAGCCGGGGGGTGCTGTGCCTGGAGCTGCTGAGCCTGGGGGTGCTGAGTTGGGAGCTGCTGAGCCTGGGGGTGCTGAGCCTGGGGTTTCTCCTGCTGCTGCGTCTCGACGGGAGCCCCTCTCTCCACAGGAGCTGCGCGAGTGGTTTGCTCGCCGCTGGAGGCGTGCTGCTGGAGCTGGAGCTTCTTCGACCGTCGAGGGTGCTAGTGCTGTCGGTCCCGGAGCTGCTGGGCCTGCGGGTCCTCCTGGAGCTGGAGCTGCTGAGGATGTTGGTGCTGAGACCACTGATGTCTGTCCTCGCGGTGGTTCTGCAGCTGGTACTGCTGGAGGTCCCGCCGCTAGAGGTGTTGGTGGCGCTGGTACTGTCGCTGAGGGTGCTGGTGTTGTCCCTGCTGAGTCTGGAGCTGCCGCGCGGCCTCGGCCGTACTTCGTTCCGCTCCTGCAGCAGGTTCTTGGTCGTTCTCCTCCGGTAGAGTGTCCACAGCCTGTCCAGTCGCAGTCACTGTTGGAGCCTTCCTCTCCTCTGCCTGTTCCCTCTCCTTACACTGGTCCTACTGGAGGTCTTACTGAGCGTCGTGAGCCTGCGTCTCGTCCCGCGTCGCCTGTTCGTGCTGCTAGCGCTAGTGGTCGCGGTTCGCGTCAGCGTCCTCCTCCTGTCCCTGGCACGCACCGGATGTCTCTGCGTCTGTCCACTGCTCCTCTGCGTGCCCCTTTGCCTTCTCCTCCTGAGTCCTCTCTTCCTGCGCTTGCCGACCCTGAGTCGGACTCTCTTCGTGCTGCCAGTCCTACTGTCACGCGTCTGCTTGCTACTGTCGTCACTGACCCCTCGTTTGAGTCCACTGCTGCGTCTGCTCTTGTCGCTGAGCTCGTCGACTTTGCTGCTCGCTGTCGTCTAGACTACGCTGCTAGTCTTGTTGCTGAGTCTGCGTCTGTCTGTCCTCCGTCCGTCGGGGGTGAGTGTGCTCTTGGCACGGACGTCCTAGAGGACAGGCAGGAGGAGTTACAGTGTCTGGCTGCTGCTTCACCTCATCTCGCGTCTGTACTGCTTGCCCCTGAGGGAGACCCGGATGCACTAGACATCCCGACTCCGCGCTCTTACGCGGAGGCCGTAGAGGGTCCCTACTCCTCTCAGTGGCAGGCAGCTATGGATGCAGAGATGGCTTCCTGGAAGTCCACAGGCACCTACGTTGACGCAGTTCCCCCTCCAGGGGCGAACATCGTCAGTGGCATGTGGATCTTCCGGGTGAAGCGGCCGCCGGGCTCTCCACCTGTCTTCAAAGCGCGGTACGTTGCTCGTGGCTTCAGCCAGCGGCAGGGAGTTGACTACTTTCAGACCTTCTCTTCCACCCCAAAGATGACCACTCTTCGGGTGCTGCTGCACATAGCCGCTCAGCGCGACTACGAGCTTCACTCTCTCGACTTCAGCACTGCGTTCCTGCAGGGTAGCCTGCACGAGGAGATCTGGCTGCGCCGTCCACCTGGCTTCACTGGGACTTTCCCTCCTGGCACCCAGTGGAGCCTCCGACGGCCAGTCTACGGTCTCCGCCAGGCACCGCGTGAGTGGCACGACACACTGAGGACTACGCTTGCGGCTCTTGGGTTTGCTCCGTCTACTGCTGACCCGTCGCTGTTTCTGCGCACCGACACTTCACTGCCGCCGTTCTACATCCTCGTGTACGTCGACGACTTGGTCTTTGCCACAGCGGACACTGCTGGACTCGCCTACGTGAAGTCCGAGCTACTGAAGAGACACACGTGCACAGACCTGGGTGAACTGCGCAGCTACCTTGGCTTGCAGATCACTCGGGACAGAGCACGCCGCACCATCACCTTGACTCAATCACACATGGTGCAGCAGGTCCTTCAGCGCTTCGGCTTCACGTACTCCTCGCCTCAGGCCACTCCTCTGTCTACTCGCCACTCACTCTCAGCTCTGCCTTCGGATGAGTCCGTAGAGTCGAGTGGCCCGTACCCATAACTTGTTGGCTGCCTCATGTACCTGATGACCTGCACTCGACCTGACCTTGCATACCCTCTAAGCATTCTTGCACGCTATGTTGCTACTCGGAGACACCGATCAGAGCACATGGCTGCAGCGAAGAGGGTATTGCGCTACCTGTGCAGTACATCGGGCATGGGGCTAGTGCTTGGAGGGCGGAGTCCAGTGGTCCTTACAGGCCACGCGGACGCTTCTTGGGCTGACGACCAGGCTACGCAGCGGTCGTCACAGGGTTACACCTTCAGTCTTGGTTCTGGCTCTGTCTCGTGGCGGTCTACTCGTTCGTCTTCGGTTCTCAGCTCCAGTTGTGATGCTGAGATCTACGCCGGGGCCATGGCTGCACAGGAGCTTCGCTGGCTCACCTACCTGCTGACTGACCTTGGAGAGCCGCCTCGTTCTCCTCCAGTGCTGTATGTAGACAACAAGGCCATGCTGGCCTTGTGCCGAGAGCAGCGCTTGGAGCACAGAACGAAGCACATTGCTCTCCGCTACTTCCTTGCTCGTGAGCTGCAGCAGCGTGGTCAGTTGCGACTTGCGTACGTGGCCTCTGAGGCCAACACTGCTGATGTGTTCACCAAGGCACTCGCGCCTTGTGACCATCAGCGCTTCTGCACCCAGCTGGGTCTTGTGCCTGTCTTGCCTCACTTGCTCTCTTCTTGACTTTACTTGTTCTGTGACATATATATACCTGCTCCTGCTTGTCTAGTTTTATATATATGTCTGTACTCCTGCATGTGAACTGGCCTCTGGCCCTGCTCTTGTGCTCGGACTGTGTGGTGACTTTGTTATCCACCCTGAGCTTGCTTTGCTTTGCTTTGCTTGACTGGTCTTGTGACCCCTTGTTCTCCCCCACTTAGCCTATGGGGGTGTGTCAGATTATTATAGCTGATGCATGTTTGTAGGCTATAGTGGGGTAGCACATATGGGGTACAGCTTTCTAGGGTTGTATTTGTACCCAACTCTGACTTAGTCATTTCATTCCTGGTCATTTATTTCACACATAATGCAATATCGCGGAAGTGATTACAACTACTGAGCAAACATCGGGGCCTAGGCATAATATAGCAAGACTAGCTAAGCCCGAGGTCGCGAAGTCGTGCGAGGGTTGGGTGTAGGTTTGGGTTTGGAAAACCCGAAGGCGACGCGGAGGACGTTCGGGAGGCGAGGTCGTCGGACCGAGCCTGAACTCCGAAAAGTTGGAAATGTACGCGTAAGCGGTGCCTTAGTAAGGAATTAGCAAAATTCCTTACACTAATACAGTTCCGTACAATAAAAAAAAACTATTACAGCACAATGCCTACACTATGTATAGCACATAAACAAGCCTTAATATCGCAGGTCGCATGTGCGTCAGCGACCTCCACTAGCTGCGGATCGAGGCCTTCCTCTTTGCTTCCTCATGGCGACATTCTCCACCGCCTCGTGAATGGTTGCAAGCCACAATTGCAGCTGCTTGTTCCGCAAAAGGGAAGATGGCACGTGCACGAAAATCAGCATGCATCAGAATAAGCTCTGTGCACAAGTGCATGTGCACTGTATCCTGTTAAAAATACATCACCCCTCCCCCAACCCCATTCCTGACCCCCCAAAGCAGCACATTCCCCCGGGCCGTGGCAGCACGGGGCGGGTGGGTGCTCACCTTGACGCGGCTGCGAGTGGCACATTCGAGGCGCAGCCCGTACCCCGTGGTGAGGTGGAACACCAGCCAGTCCTCTGCCTCCTCCCCCGCCTCCCCCCCTGCCTCCAGTGTCCCTGCTGCCGCCACACTGTCCAACGGGATGCTCACCTCGGGGTCCAGGTCTGGAGGAGGGGGTAGGGGAGAATGAGGTAGTGGGGTGGGGAGGGAGGGGAGTGGAAAGGGCAGGAAAGGGAGAAAAAGAGCGAAGGAGGGAGAAAGGGAGGAGGAGGAAATCAAGTTTCAGAGGCGGTGTTGGGCAGAATCATAGGGAAGGAATCCCGTGTAGATACACCTGGTGCGTGTCAGAACGTGGAGAGGTGACAGAGTGGCACACCTGAGGCCTGGCGGTAGCAGGAAACCTCATTGGCGGAGAGAGCAACGAAGTGTGGCAGCCACTCATCCTCTGCTTCAGGGTCGTCCACTGGCAGGGGCCCCTCGCCCCCCATGGGCGCCCACCGCTGCTCAAGGCAGGGGGAGTGGGTAGGGGGATGATGGGGAAAGGTGCACGGTCGGTTGGGGCTTTGATGGACCTCAGAACCTGAGAGTTGGGGACAGTGGGGATGTCAGGGTTGCAGGCATGGGTGGTTGCACTCACTCACATGCACTCGTTCACTTGCATGCACTCGTTCACTTGCATGCACTCGTTCACTTGCATGCACTCATTCACTTGCATGCACTCGTTCACTTGCATGCATTCACAAAGCAGCCGGCAGGTAAGGTGAGACCCACATGCATACCTGGCGTGTGTGAAGGTACTCGACAAGCAGCGATCGCTTGAGCATGGCATCCAGATGTGACAGCCTGGTGTGCGCCGTGCGGTGCAGCGGTGAAACAGGGATGGGAGAGAGGAAAGAAGAGAGAGGTTTGAATGGGACACGTGGTGCAGGTGTGAATGTTGACATGGTGATTCATCACTGTTGAAGCAGAAGCAGGGAGAAGGAGGGGAGGGGCCCAGCAAAGCACATGCACTGTCACATGCACCCTCACATGCAGTCACATGCAAGGTCACAGAGTGTCAAACATGTGCCTGGCTGGCAGAGCAGGCAGAGCAGGCATTCCAGCAGGCACACACACGGCACTCACTTGGCTTTGGCTGTCTGCTCTCTCTCCTCCGCTGCTGCCACCTCGTCCCTTGCCTCCACCGCCTGCCACAGCACCACGGCACCGCACGGCACACGCAACATGCAATCAGAGCACACAATCAAAACAGGAGAAAATAGAGTTAGCCCTATTACATATTCCCTACCCCCCCTCCCCTCTCCCACCCCCACCTCCCCCTTTTGCCGTCCATTGTGTGTCATACTACCCACCTCGGCACTGGCGGGGCTGTCCTTGGTAGCGCCACTGCTCCACCCAAACAGCCACCCGCCGCCCCCGCCACTGCTCACTGCCCCCTTCTTCTGCCCCCCCACACCACCGCTGCCGGCAGCAGCAGTGGCAGGACGGGCGGGGACAGGGTTGAGTATGCGAGAGTCCGTGGAGTGGGGTGTGTCGGCTGGAGTTGTGGCTCTGGGGGGAGAGAGAGGGGGAGTGATGGAAGAACGAGGAAGGGGAGACGGGGGGGTCATGAGCTGTGAGTGCCGACATGTTGGCTACGAGAGGAGGGATGAGTAGTGTGATGCGAACTGGAGAGCACGGGCAGGAAGCAATGCAAAGATCGTGTGGGTTATGTGAGTTGTGTAGTGCACATGTGCGTGTGGCGACTGTGAGAGAGCAGTGGTCATAATGTAGCGAGTGCCAGATGTGAGCACTGGATAACTGGTGTGCAGCGCGGTGCCGCCACACCACGCACCGCGAGCTGGCAGAGGAGAAGCCGTCCAGATGCAGAGCACGGAACTGCCGCGGCGGCACCAGCTTCGCCTGCTGCTGCTGCTGCTGCTGCTGCTGCCCTGCCTGTCCAGGCCTGAGCTGCTGCGAGTCCATCCCAGTGACCCCCACTGCTGTGGCGGGCCGTGCGGCGAGCTCTGGTGCAGCCTGGCCTGCTGCATGTGCCGCCACGACACGCCGGCGCTCCACCTGACTTGCCATCTTCCCCCCACCCATCCGGGCACCCACGGGGAGCGATGGGCGGAGTGATGGGCGGAGTTATGGGCGGAGTGATGGACGGAGTGATGGGCGGAGTGATGGGCGGAGTTATGGGCGGAGTGATGGACGGAGTGATGGACGGAGTGATGGGCGGAGTGATGGGCGGAGTGATGGGCAGAGCGATGGGCGGGCGAGGGTGTCAGGGAATGTGGAGGCGAGGTGGAGGTGCATGTGAGGGGATGCAAAAGGGCAGGGCGGGGAAAGGCAGAGGGGAGGCGCAGGGTGAGGCACAGGACGAGGTGCAGCCAGGGAAACACAGGTGCAAGCACAGGGGTGGTTGTGTTGAGACAGGTCATTGCAGAGGGCAAATGGAAGCTGCTGCACGGTATGTGGCATGTGCGAGACACACACATGCACGCATAGCATGTGCAAGACACACACATGCACGCATGGCATGTGCGTGACACACACATGCACGCATGGCATGTGTGCTGTGCTCACCTCGAACGCCACCAGGTCAGCAGGGCGCATGTTGGCCAATGCAGGGTGGCCACGTGTCATGCCCACCAGTGTGATCCCCTCCACCCCCGCCTTCTCAAAATCAGCGGCATAGTCTGCCATGGGCCATGCAGGCAGCACAGTGGGGAGTGATACAGTGCAGCATAGAGGGAAATGAATAAAGGCACAGGAGGTCGCAGGGGATAAGAGGAGGCAGCAAGAGGGTGTGGAGGGCAGGCGAGCAGAGCAGGAGATGGAAGCACGCACGGGAGGCGGGGGCGGAGCGGAAGGGCACGGAGGAGCGCAGCCAGTGCAGCACATCGCTGGACGACCACTGCAGCAGCGATGCCGGCGCTGCACGCACAGCCGAGGCAGGCGGTGCAGCCGCTGCCCCGCCACTTGCTCCGGGTGCTTCCGCCCCAGGGGCCTTGGCATCCAAGGGGGTGGACTCCTGAGGTGCGCTGCTTGCACCGCTCGCTGCAGCAGTGCGGGGATCTCCGCCCCCACCAGCAGCGCCCATGGAAGCGGCGAGGCTGCGCTTCACCTCGTCCAGCGCCTGGCCCCTGCTGGGGGAAGTGGCGTCCCCTGGCAATGCCGCAGCTGCGGCACCGGCAGCAGCAGGGTCGGCAGTTGCAGCAGGTTCGGCAGCGGTATCAGGGGCGGCTGCAGCGGCAGAGGCAGGGACGGCGGTGGGCTCGCCGTCAGTCCAGAGCAGGCGTTGAATCGCCTCCGCTGATACCCCTTTGCCTGCCCCCCCTGCTGCTGCCTCCGCTGCCTCCTTGTGCCCCCCCTCTCCCTTCCCCTCGCCACGCTGCTCCACAGCAGGGGCAGCGGGGGCAGGGGGGGTGGGAGCGAGGCCCATGCGGTGCGAGATGGAGGCGAGGAGTGTGAGAGGGGAGGCTGTAGCCGGCAGGGGTGAGACGGCAGGCAGGGGCGAGACGGCAGGCAGGGGCGAGACGGCAGGCAGGGGCGAGACGGTGGTGGTGGTGGAGTCTAGAACACTGCACAGGGTGGGGTATGTATGGGGGATTGGGTAGCAGGGAATCGACAGTGGAAGTGGGAGGACGGAGAGAGGCAATGGGGTGAGAGACGTCAGAGGATGAGTGCAAGGAAACGAGAAGCCGAGATGGCAGAGGAAGAAATGGGTAGAGCAGGAAGCAAGCAGCAGGGAGTGTGTGAGGAGAGGAGCGGCCCACCTCTCGCCCTTCTCCCAAGCGGCCAGCAGGTCGTGCAGCTGCACGCTCTTCACTTGGCCCTTGACGTGCGCTGAGGGGGATTCCAGCAGCAGCCCCGCCCCCAGCTCCTCATACAGCTCCTCCCTCCGCCTCTGCTCCCCTTCCACCCTCTCCCGCTCCTCCCTCTCCCGAGCCTCTCTTTCCTGCTCCTCCCTTTCTCGGTCCTCCACACTCACCCCGCCAACCTGCCCTCCCCGTAACTGCCCCCCACCCCTCCTTTCCTCCATGGCGTGCCTACCTCCTCCCAGCATGCCCAAGCCCTCAGAGTCCCAATCCCCTTCGCCCTCCGCCTCCAATTCCGCCCCTCTGTCCGCAATCACCAGCACATCCGCGCTCTCCCTGCCCCCCATGGCGCGCCCAGGCTGCGCCCAGGGGGAGGGGGAGAAGGGCTGGGGGGAAATGAGCGCGGATGCGGGGGACTGAAGCGGGGATGGTCGTTTCCAAGAAGGTTCGGATGTAAGAGAGGGGGAAGGTTGCGCGGAGGAGGGGTGAGAGGGAGAGGGGTGGGAGGGGGAGGGCTGAGAGGGGAAGTTCATCTTAGCCAGCAGGTCAAGAGACAGCCCTATCTTGTTGCCCGGCCCTGCTGTTCCCCCCCGCATGCTCCCACCACTGCCACCCCTGCTGCCCTCCCCCTGCTGCTGCTGTTGCTGCTGCTGCTGTTTCTGCCTCGCGTCTGCCCTGGGAGGCAGCCCCAGCGGCACTCTACCGCCCATCCCGCCTCCCCCTCCCGTTCCCCCCACGCCCCCCCCACTCCCCGCGAGATCCAAATGCTGTGGCCCCACCGCTGCTGCTCTGTCCGCAGCTGCCCACGCGCCTGCTGCAGCGCCCCTGCCCTTGCGCGCGCCCCTCTCCTCGTCCAGAGAGACTGACAGATGGCGGTACCTCTGCAGCACCCGCACCCGGTCGCCTGCCCCCCTGCTGCTCTCACCAGTGCTGGTGGTCACGGCGCTGCTGCTGCTGCTCCTGGCAGCACCAGCAAAGGCGGAATAACTGTTGGTAGTACTGCTGCTGATGGTGGCACTGCTGTCTGCACCTCCCTCCACGCTCAGCCCACTCACCTGCGCCCTGGTGGCGCGCTCATGTGAGGCAGAGAGAGTGACGCTGCGCTGAAACAAGTCCCCGCTGCCACCACTACCCTGCAACCTGCCCCCCATGCCAACCCCGCCAATACTAATGCTCCCACTCCCACCAGCACCCCCGGTGCCGCTGCCTTGTGTGCTGGCAGCACCGGAAATGGAGTTGAAGCGGGGGAAGGCGGAGGAGGCTACGCGGCCCCCGCTGGAGTGCGGGCGGTGGTCCTGCAGCACAGCAACGCGCAGGCGAGGGCGCGCGCCGAATATGTCCTCCTCTAGTGAGGAGGGCGGGCGCGCGTGGCTCAAACGGTCGGAGAGAGTGGAGGGGCCGGCACTGGAGGGGCGTGGGATGGATGAGTCGAAGGATGAGGGGGGTGGCGCTGAGCTGGTACTGCTGCCGTCGCTGCTGTTGGCAGTGGCGGCAGCAGGGGTAGCAGCGGAGGAGGAAGGGGAGGAGGAGAGGATGGAGTTGGGGGAGGGTGCTTGCTCCGCAGTCAAGCCTGAGGGGCCTGCCTTAGCACTTGACGCGTGTGTGTGGCTGTCAGCAGGCGCGCCAGCAGGGGACTCGGCTCCGTCATACCCCTGTGCGCCGTCCACACTGCCACCTGCTTCACCGTCGCCCTCGCTGCCTGTGCTCTCCGCATACCCCTCGTCCACTGCACGCTGTGCACGTTCCATGCGGACAGGCAAGGAGAGAAGGATGAAGGGATGCACATCCTGAAAAGCTGAGATTCTTTAAGTGGGGTCCCAGAATTAGAGAGCGGGATTGGCGGTTGAACATGACTGAGAGAGTGGCTGTGGTACTTTGAGGGTGTTTTCAGAAATTCAGCCCCAGTCAACAGCAGTCATGCCCTGTCCACGTCAGCAGCTTACCTCGTAGCACAGTTCACAGACCTTGGCCTTCACCCCTCCCGCCTCAATCTGCAGTCAAATGGAGTCAACGGGGTCAAGTTAAGTGATCCTGGACGGGTGACAACAGGTGATCACAGCATAATTGACCTTAAAGAGCGTGACCGTACTCCACGTGGCAGTCCTGTTTCCCAGGTGCCACGTGTCAGCGTCTCACCATGGCGCTGAGCGGGTTGAGCGGCAGCACGTAGCCAGTGCACTTGCTGCAGTACACGTTGCCGCAGCACCGACAGTGGT